TCACTTACCTTGAAAATTAACTAATTTACAAGCTACAGAATTTGCTGCCAACTTTTCAATCCACAAATTATAAAAAATTAAGATGCATATTGGAAAGTTTCTTGGTAATTGCAGAGCATGTAATTGGCCTTTGTCTTGAATGATAAATCCATGTGACTTTTTAGCAAAACAAAACAGAAGAGGGAATTGACTAGCAAAGATGAAAGGGTGACAGACAGTAGTAATGCTGGTAAATTGAACTGAATGTAAATGTAATAGTTAAAGAGCTAACTCTTACGGTCTATATCTAGGTGTGCCCCCAAAGCCTTATGGTCTTTTAATAATTGGCTGGATCATTGGTATTTGATAACTGGATCAGTCCACTGATAACACAGTTGTGGGTGGTGGGATTTATGAAGAGGGAAGCCCCACCATGAGTGTGGGTGACACCAACCAGTAGTCTTGTAGGCTGGATGAAATGTAAAAGGACTGAGGCTGTTAGTTGCCTCCTGCTTGCCACACCATGAACTGTTTGTCCTCTGCCATGCCACCCTGCCTTGGAACCAGCCAACTATGGACTGAAACCTCTGCAAACTAGGCTAAAATGAACTTTTCCTCCTTGAACTGGAGGGTATTGATTGGGTATTTTGTCCCAGTAGCATTAAAGTAACTAAAGACACCAACCTCATGAATACAGACATGTATATTTGGGAAGAAGCAAATGTCCAGCCAGAGAAACTTAGGGAATTGTAAGTCAGGCTTATTAACATAAATAAGAAACATTAAAGATTTTTATAGCATTGAAACACAAAAGATAAAATACTGATTTAGGAATATGACTGTCAGCAAAGTATGGAAGTCATAAGTTGTGAGGAGGATTGTTCAGCCAGTCTTGATAAGTATTTAAACAAAAAAATAGCATACTTAGTAATCTCAGTATTCCTAATGTTTTAAGTTACACTGTACAAAGTATTAGTTTTCCTATTTAATTTCTTTACATGTTTATAATTGTCAGTTATAGTGTTTTGACAATTCTTATTTTAAAATGTCATGAAACAGTTGTAATTTTTCCCAGTGATTATGACGATTTCATTGTGTGCTTATTTTATGACTTCACACTGTCGTGCAAAGTAAAAACTGGAGATAAGGGTTGGGGATTTAGCTCAGCGGCATAAGCACCTCCCTTGCAAGCAGGCGGCCGTGAGTTCAATCCCCAGTACCGATAAAAATGAAAAAGACAAAAAAAAAAAAAAAAAAAAACTGGAGATAAAAAAATGATCCTTATAAAAATAATCATTTTAAATCCTTAAGTATCATGGTAGGTCAAAGTTCTCTTCTGAGTGGCTTTTAGGGCTAGTCATAGTTAAAAACACCTCACATTTGAGGTTTTTAAACATTTTTCTGTAAGCATTTGTAAGGTCTCCCCTACTTTATGCAGCTCTTGGTGCCACCAATTTTGAGCCCGTTGGGAATTTGAACTGTAAACAAGAGTGCTGATTATTACTATTATTGTTTGGTACCAGGGATTGAATTCATGACTGCGTGCTTGCAAGGCCACTGAGTTAAATCCCTGGCCCAAGAGTGCTGATTTTCTATGTACATTGTTGGTTTAACCTCATTTTTTCAGTCTTGTTTTCCTTTTCCAAATTTTTGTCTCTTGTCTTGTTTTACCTTGAACCTTTGCTATTTTATGGTGTTTTGGGAGGGAAAATTTGTTGAATTGGTTATGTCCAGTGATAGCTATTGAAAAGCTGAATGCCTTGATCAAAACATAATTTTAGCTTAACCTTGAAGTTAAGCTAATTCTTCATAAATAAGTGACGTTATTGGTATGCCTTAACCCTTATATAGTAATATATATTGTTTTGAAATTGGGATATGCATTTAAAATACATAAATGCATTGAATATTCTTGAATTTCAGAATTTAATAATGCTGATACTGATATTCTTTGATTATATTTAGAGCTATAGAAGTCTCTTTATTGGAAATTTTATTTTAAAGTCCTATAAAATATTCTAACTTCATTGTTAACTATAATCATTAGGTCTCTACTGAATTTTAGCAGGTAAGAAATTTGTGATATGTATCTATAATTTTTGATTTTAGCATATTTTAGATTAAGTATCAGTATAGTATTCCTGTTCCTTTGGAAAGTTCACATATACAAACTATCATAGCAAAAAATACATACTGTGTGTATCTTTATAGTATATCTTTGTAGTGTTTACTTTCTGAAGAATTTATGTAGGAGAAACATAAGGCGTCTCTCTTGAAATATCTAAATACTCAAAAACAGTTGTATATTACTTGTGGGTTATGTACTTGTGAACTTGTGTACTCACTAAAATTTATCTAATCTGAAAGTCATTAATTGTAGCACCTTTGAGGTCATTCACAGACATGCACGGAGTAGCAAAAATTTAGACATGCAATATAGATATTCTTAACTGAGATTGAATGAGGGGATGTAGCCAGGGATGTAGCTTAGCAGCACAGCACCTGCCTGGCAAGCGCAAGGTCCTGCATTCAATTCCTAGTACCAAAAAAAAAAAGTAAAGATTGAATGAGGGAATTCTTTATTTGGTGTTGCTGCTTTTCCTTTGTTGTTTAGCTTTTGTTTTGTTTCTGTTTTTTGAGACAGGATCTTGCTGTGTAGTTCAGGCTGGCCTTGAACTCACTGTATATCCCAGACTTGCCTTGAATTTTTGACAGTCTTCCCACCTCAGTCTTCTGAGTGCTGAGATTACAGATGTGTGCCACCACACCTGGAATTTTGCTTTTTAAACTATCCTGGTACACAGTGCTAAAATGTTGCTTAAGGTTTCTAAGTGTTGGAACGCTAACATTTTACCTTGTAGGAAAAGTACGTGTTAGATAAGCTGCTGGCAAGGAGTTCAGTGTTAATCATTTACTAATACACATTTTTAAAAGCATCTTTTAAACTGAAACATTAAACAGATTTTTTCCCCTGTTTTTGAGACAGGGTCTCACTGTGCAGTTTAGGCTGTCTTGAGCTCAGGCTGGTCTCAAATTTGCAACAGTCTTCCTGCCTCGGCTCCTGAGTGCTGGGATTACAGATGTGTGCCACCACACTTAGTATAGTATTTATACTATAGGACTGTTAGTTTAGTATTAGTTCAGTGTTCAGTGGCTTTTAGCATTTTTAAGTTTTTGGCAGTACTAGGCCATATCCCTTTTCCTTTCTAATTTTTTGAAACAGGGTTTCATTAAATTGCATGGATGGAACTTAAACTTTCAGTCTTTTTTCAAGAATTTTCAATCTTTCCTTAGACAAATGAAGAAAATATCAGACCACCCCCCAACCCATTTAAAGACCCAATCCAAAAATGGGCATCTGAAATGAATAAGACACTTCTCAGATGAAGAGGTACAAATAGTAAATATATGAAAAATGTTCAATATCACTGGGCAATCAAGAAATGCAAATTAAAACAACTTGAAATTGTATCTCCAGAAAAAAATCAACCAATAAGGAGTACTGGTGAGACTGGGGAAAAAGAAACCTTTCTCCATTGTTGGTGGGAATGTAAATTGATACGGCCAACATGGAAATCAGTATAGAAATTGCACAACTAAGACTAGAGGTTTCTTTTGACCCAGCTATTTACCTTATATCATACTGTAGTGATATATGTCTACCCATGTTTATAGCAGCACAGTTGATGAGAGCTAAATCTTAAAAACCGTCTGGATGCTCATCAACAAATGAATGGAGAAAATATGCTGTTTATGTAGAACAGAGTACTATTCTGCCATAAACAAGACTAAATTTGAATCATTTGTAGGTAAATGGATGCACCTCGAGACCATAATCTTAAGTGAAATAAAGTGACACACATGTTTAAATAGCACGTTCTTTTGTGTGAGATACCCAGAGGGTAAGTGAAGAACATAATGGAAGATAGATATTTGGAATAGGAAAAACATGTTCAAATGTGAAGGGGAACATGGGAGGAAAAAGGAAGAAGAAAAGGAATGGAAAAGGAAAAACAATGGAAGGGGAAAAAAGGAAACAGCTTGTGTAAATAGGAGGAGGAAGAAGATTTGAAGGGTGGGGAGGGGAATGGGAAAAAATAATTAAGATGTGTTATGTACGGTACAATCTCCTATAATGCATATGATCAATACGTATGGCAAATATTTACTAATAAAGTAAGAAATTTGAATGCAAAAAAATTTTTTCAGTCCTGCCTCAGTCTCCTAAGTGCTGGGATTGCAGGCATATGCCACTACACCTGATTTCTCAGGGACTTGAATAAAGCAAAGCTGCCAGGAGCAACAAATACTGACCACATTTGAATGAACAGAGTGGTTAGAACATCTCTTTCCCTCATTGAAAAAACTGAAATTTACTTTATAGTTAAAACATGAATATGTATTTGGGTAATATGTCTTTTGTGTAAGATATTCAAAGTATGTTAAAATTACATGTGGACTACAATTAAATGTTTAATGGTATTGTGTCAAACATTTTTCTATTTATAAGAATAATTTTAATGCACCAACAGTTTTTAGTTAACATAACTTAATATTTATGGGATACAGTGTAATACTTTACAGATACACATTAAATAAATCAAAGTAAGTAGCATATGTGTTCACTATATCTTTGGTGAGACCAGTTAAGATTCCTCCTAGCTCACTTTATAGCACAGGCTGTTCGAACTTGCTGATCCTTTTGCTCCAGTCTCCCGAGTCTTTGTAGCTATTTTGAAATGTACATTACATTATTAACTATGTTTTAGCCATTTCATTAGTGTTAAATACACTGTATTTTTGTGCAATTTGTTTTTTTTTTTTTTTAATTATTCTGGAACACTTGTTATAGTATCATCTTATCAGTGTTCTCATATCCTTGTGAAATTGCCCTCAATTAGTGAAATGAAATCACTGGAATTTAAAATTCTTTGTCTGCTCTTTGATTGATATATTCAAAATGCACCATAGGATAGTTTTGTTACATTGCTTTGTACTCACAACCTCCCCTTCTGTTTCAGAGCTTTTTTAGGACCAAAGGATATATTTCCTTACTCAGAAAATAAGGAAAAGTATGGCAAACCAAATAAACGCAAAGGTTTTAATGAAGGCTTGTGGGAGATAGACAACAATCCAAAAGTGAAATTCTCAAGCCAGCAGGTAAGTCAGTCATTTTATGTAAAGTTGAGTATTTATTAATTCAGATCAGTTTTTTGGAAAATAATCAGTGCTCTAGCTATAAGAAAATAAACACTAATATAAAAGTCTTGTGAATGTCAGATTAAATTGTGTACTCATAAGGTTAAACTTTTTACCTTTTATGTGTAGATGAATTGTTGAAATTATTCATTGTAAGCTGGTACAGTGGCACATGCCTATAATCCCAGCACTTGAAACTGTGACAGGAGCATCATGAGTATGAGCCCAGCTTCAGCAATTGAATAATATAGTAACACCTGGTCTCAAAATAAAAAATACAAAAGGGCCTGGGATATAGATCGGGGGGAGATTCTGGGTTCAGTTCCCAGCAGCGCACGCACGTACACATGTATGCACACTTATTAATTGTTTGGGTAAAGAGATCTTAGAAAACAACCATATTCAGTTAATTTCTCTTGATTAAAAGTTTATTTAATTCATTGTTGAACTCATTGTTGAACTTACAACCTTACTGTTCTCTTAAATTTTTAATTTAGAAGGCATGTGATTTTATTTGCAGTTTCTAAATACATGCTAGAGTTCTAATCCTTACTACAATATAAATGTCACACAGGTTAAATTAAATGTGTGATGAAAGTATTTATAGCTCCCTGCAAATTATATTTAAATTTATATGAAAAGGCTGTTAATTTATATTGATACTGAATTCATGATGTGATTTGCTTTTATCCAATTTGTATGGTTTTTCTCATGTAACAGCAGTTACTAATTAATGTTTTTGGTCCTGATATTGACCTTTTGTTTTTGTTTTTTGAGGTACTAGAGATTGAACCCAGGCATTATGCATGCTAGACATGTGCTCTATCACTGAGCTAACTCTTTAGCCCTTTTAAAATGTTTTACTTTGAGACAGGGTCTTGATAAGTTGCCTAGGCTGGCCTTGAACTCGACATCCTCCTGCTTCAGACTACTGTGGAGTTGGGATTACATGCACGGTTGTGCCATTGCACCTGTCTGGCTGGTCTTGATGTTATTTTTAAAATGTTTTTCTGTATTTCCAGTTGTACTCTTGAACTATATCACAGAGCTCTTTTTTTTATAGCAGTACTGAGAATTGAACGCCATGTCATACACAGAGTACAAAGAGTGTTACCCTGCTGACTACATATCCCTAGGCCTGTCTTTTCCTCTCCTCTCTTTTTCCTTGTTTTCTTTATTCTTTTTTCCTTCCTTCTTTTCCCTTTCTCTGTTTTCTTTCTTTCTTCCTTCCTTCCTTCCTTCCTTTCTTTCTCTCTCTCTCTCTCTTTCTCTCTTTATCTCTTTCTCTCTCTCTCTCTCTCTCTCTCTCTCTCTCTGTCTCTCTCTTTCTTTCTTTCTTATTGGTGTGCTGGGAATCAAATGTAAGGCCTCAACAGACACTAGGCAAGTCCTTCATGGTCTTTTCTTCCAGATTGTACATTTTAATTACTCCATCATTTGTCTCCACTTTCACTCGATGTCTAGGTAATTTTGCCATAGAAGTCTAAATTTCTATTTCACAGTGAAATTTTTGGTAGGTTACATGGATAAAACAAAGTAACTTTCTGTCTTTACCAAAAGGTAACTTACTGTGTTGATCAGATTCAGTGTGATCCTAAGACCCAGACATGGGAGGCATATTCCTAGGATCTGGGGATAGCAAAATAATTGGCAGTCATGAGTTTTAAAAGTTTCTGTAGTGCTATGATTTTCAAGCATTCACATTATATGAATAGTAACTTCGTGAGTTTTAGCATTCCCTTACAGAAGAATCTATGCTCAGGACTGGGGGCATAGCTAGTTCAGTCAGAGCACTCATCTAGCATTTATGAGTATCTGAGTTTGATTCACCAGCACCAAAAAACCTCCAAAAACTCAAGGCTGGGTATGGTGGTGCATGCCTGTAATCCTAGCACTTAGGAGGCTGAGGTAAGGATGATTCCTGTTGAGGGACTGACTCGGCTACAGCGTGAATTCAAGGCCAACCTGAACTACATAATGAAAGAAACCGCTTCAAAAAGACCAAAAAAAAAAAAAAAAAAAAAAAAAAATTAAAACGTTCTGAGGTTTTTAACATGGTATGATGGTCACTGAACTTGTAGCATTAAACTATTTCTATTAAATTTTATTTGTTTTGCAGTTATCAGGGGTTGACTCAGGGCCTTCACACTGAACTGTATCCGCTATCTCCCACTCTTCCAAAAAAAGTTTTTATTTTGAGACAGGTTCTTACTAAGTTGCTCTCAGGCTGGGCTTGAACTTTCAGTCTCCCTGTCTTAGCCTCCTAGAGTACAGGGAGTACAGGTGTGCACCATTGCATGTGGCAAAACTATTGTTAAATTGTGTATACTAAAATGTTGAGGCTAAAGTAGGAGAACTGCTGCAAACTCAAGGCCAGCCTGAGCTACATAGTGGGATCTTGTCTCAAACCCCCTCACCCCAAGTAATCCTATGGGAATCAGGGTGCTTTTCTAACTTTCTTGCAATCAGGCTTTGATTTTTCCTCAGTACAACATTTTAAAATTGAAGATCCTTACTTTGTGAAATTAATAATAAACTGTTGCTTACAGGTATCAACTAAACAGTCAAATGCATCATCTGATGTTGAAGTTGAAGAAAAAGAAACTAGTGTTTCAAAGGAAGACAGTGATCATGAAGAAAAAACAAGCAGTGAGGTATATTTAAATTCTCTCACATTTTCCATTTGGTTGCTAGGAAAGAATTGTAAAATGAGTCGACCATGGCAATGGAAATAATTTTTGAAGTACTTGAAAAATGAATGAGAACACACAAGAGATTTATTTTCTTGTATTAAATACAACATTGTAAAATAGTTTTTGCATGCTTAATGTGCAAAGATACTTAAAATTTCTTTAGTGGTATTAGGGATTGAACCACATTAGGCAAGCACTGTACCACCAGGGTTTTATCTTTAGCCCTTTTAAAAATTTTATTTTGCAAGTCTTCAGTTGCTCAGGCTGGTTTTGAATTTAGGGTCCTCCAGTTTTAGCTCAGAGTATTTGGGCTTACAGATGTGTACTGCCATACTTATCTTGGATGTTTTTATTTGCACTTAATGCACAGCATGAGATCTAACTCTAGAGTGGGTCACAGTTTGCTATTGTAGTATAGATGGAATGGAATGGACTGATTTTTGCTTTTAAACTTAGGTTGATTTCTGCTAGCTTTTCTAGTCTTCATGAAATGATTGTTGGATGATCCCTAAAAGCTCAGTCAGCTTTTAAAATTTATAATCCGAGGGCAAGATATTTAGCTCAGCTGTATAATGCCTGCCTGTCAAAGCGCGAGGTTGTGAGTTCTACCCTGATACCGAAAACAAAAAAATTTTACAACCCTAACATTTAGAATTCTACTGTAGAAGTGGTTTCATAAATGTAATACAAGCTCTGGTGTATTGGAAAATGTGATATGTTATATTTGAGCCGATGGTGGAAATGTATTTTTTCCCTGAGGAGGAGACAGGGTATTACTTTCATTTTATAATGTTAAGATTTTATGGATTTGTTGTTGTTGTTTCAGTGCTGCAGATTGAACTCAGGGCCTTTCATAATGCTGTGCTAAGAGTGTTAATGTTTATAATTTTAAAGGTCAGAAAAGCAAAACAAACTATGCACCTTTAGTGAAATGTGTTTGGTTTTTTTTTTTTAGTTTAAGAAAGCTTCTTTCGTTCTTGGCATAATTTATTCAGTTTCATCTGTGTGTGGGTGTTTTTTTTTTTTTCCTTTCCCTTCCTTAGGATATGACTAAAGCAGTTGATATAACCACTCCAAAAGCTGCCCGAAGAGGGAGAAAGAGAAAGGTAAATTCATTGATCAACCATAGGAATCTTTAGAAAAAAATTTTAGTTTATTTGCATATAAAAAGAGGTGATAAAACCTTATTAAAACTTTTTTAAAGGTTAGCTTATATGTTGCTTACTTGGCAAAGTTGTTTCTTTTTGATATAGTTAAAGAATGCTTAAGATGAGTTGAATCATAAAATAAAATGTAAAAAGCTATTGCTCATTACTAGTTTTCATTTATTTTAATGACTTTGTAAAATGAGTAGTGAGATATATGAAGTTACAGTGTTACTGAAAGGACGAAAGTGTCAGCCATTATGATTTTACTGTTATGTCACGATGTGTGTGTGAAATGAGAGTGAAAATACAGGGCCAAGTATCTGATAGGTTTTTAATGTGTTTCTTCTTCCCTGTAAGTTTTGTTCATATGTTTTCTGACCTATTTCTGTCTTAGACTATTTTATGCCAAAGATTTAAAGAAAATCAAGAGTTGGCTCTCTCTTGAGGAAATATGAAAACAAATAATTGCAGTGGCTCTTTATATACATTTCGGGAGGGATTTGATAAATTTGATAAGATCTTAAAAGACACGCAGAATTTTACCCAGATGTGGTGGCACATACCTGTAATACTAGCACTCAGGGGAGGCTGAGGCAGGAGAATTGCTGTGAGTTTGAGACCAGCCTGGACTATATAATGAGTTCAAGACCAGCCTGAACCACATAGCAAAACCAAAGAAACAAAAGATAAGGCAGAATTTTGTCAGGCATCCAGGCAGAGGGAAGATTACTAAGGCAATTTAAATGTTATATACAGGTACATAGGGAAAATTACATTATAAACTTTCGGTTACAATGTTGTATTTTTATTTACTTAATTTTTTTGGGTACAGCCTTATGCTTGCCAGACAGGTACTTATGCCACTGAGCTAAATCCTTGGCTCTGTGTTTTATTTTAGTATAGTACCTTTTTCTAAATTTTGGAAAAGATGGCCTATGTTTGATACTGGTGTAGGGAAGCAGGCTACACAGTCTTGTCGCCTGATGTGTAGTTTGCAAACAGAAAAGTTTGCCAGACGCATGTGTTTGTGAACCATGGTGTCACTGTTAACTAAGAAGTTAGAGGGAAATGGGTATAAAACCCCAATGTTATCCTGAAGAATTGGAACTTAAAAGAGGTGATGACAAACCACTGAGTCATTTTAGATATCTCCTTTGTTAAGGCAGTGTGATAATAGGAATTGGATTGGACCAGAGAGACTAGTTCACTGAAAACCTCATTCAGAATACTACCTTTACTCACCTAGGTGTGAAACTGAAAAGTGAGTAAGGAAGCAGGTTGTTGTTGTTACTGAATTTTCATTTTTATCAAGAGCCAGTATAGGTATTCTTTGTACTATTACTCTTTGCTTTTTTGTGTCTTGCAATACCAAGCATGTTTTACAAATCAAAGATTTGGCAACTTGAATAAATCTGCATTGAAAAATCTTTCAGTGCTGTTTTACAGCAGCATGTGATGCGTTTATGTCAAATTTTGGTAATTATCACAATATTTCAGGCTTCTTAAATTATATTTGTCAGGGAGATTGTGATCAATGATTTTTGGTGTTACTATTGTTAATTGGTAAGGCATCATAAAACTGCACATATATAAGACATTGAACTTAATTGATACTGTGACTGTTCCAACAGCTCTTCTCTGTCTCTTGTTTCTTGTCTTGGGTTTCTGTTCTATGACACACAGTGTTGAAATTAGGCTAGTCAATAACCTTAAAGTGGTGTATACATGTTTAAGTGGAAGGCAAAAGTCACCTTCTTCTCACTTTATATCAGAAGCTAAAAGTGATTAAGATTAGTAAGGAAGTCATGTCAAAAGCTGAGACAGAAAAAACAAAATGCTGAGATAGGTTGATCCTAGGGCTCTTGGACTAATATGCAAGTTGTAAATGAAAGGAAAAAGAACTTGGAGGAAATTAAAAGTGTTACTGTATGAATGTAGCAACAAGGCAGCAAAACAAACTTGATTGCTGATAATGGAAAAAGTTTTATTGGTTTCTATAGAAGATAAAGCCATTCTGTTCACAGCAGTGCCCTAAGCTCAAGTCTAATCCAGAGGAAAGTTCTATCTATCTGTTAATTCTCTGAAGGCTGAGAGAGGTGGGAAGTTAGCCACAGAACAGACACTAGCAAAGATTAGTTCATCAGGTTTAAGGAAAGAAGCTGTAGCTATACCTTAAAAAGTTCAAGGTGAAAGCAGTACTGCTAATGCAGAAACTGTTGCTAATTATCCACAAGATCTAGCTAAATAAGATAATTAATGAAGGTTACACTAAACAGCTAGCTTTCAGTGTAGCAGAAACACCTTAATTGGAAGATCTTCAGAATGGGAAGATGCTCCCATTCTGAAGATCATAGGGCCCTTAAATATTACACTAAATAAGCCTCTTCTGTATTAATGGAACAGAAAGGCTTGGATGACAGCATGATGTACTGAATATTTTAAGCCAACTATTGAGTCCTGGTCAGAAAGATTCTTTTTAAAATACTGTTATGCATTGACAGTACACCTCATCATCTAAGAATTCTGAGGGAGATGTTTAGTGAGTTTAATATTTTCATACTTGCTAACACAACATCTACTTTGCAGCTTTTATGTATGAGCAAAGGAAATGGTTTCTTAAGATACAATCTATTTCTACGATGGTATTATAGGTATTGTTGAAACAAAGAATTTATTAATAAAGTTAGTTGATAAAGCATGGCAGAATTTTGCAAGGACCGACTCCAGTTTTGAAAGAAGTTCTCTTGGTAAAATGCTATCAGACATCATTATATTCTACATAGACTCTTTTGTGAAAAGAAGACTCAGGTGATGGCTGACTTCATTGTTTTAAGAAATTGCCACTGTCACCCTAACCTTCAGCCACCAAGCTGACCAGTCAGTAGCCATCAACATCAATGTAAGGCCCTCCACCCCCAAAAGGGTTGTGGCTCACTGTAGTCTCAGAAGACTGTAGCATTTTTAAAGCAATCTTTGCTTTTATTTTGTATTTTTGAAGGGCTAGGGATTTAGCTCAGCGTCATAAGCGCCTGCCTTGCAAACATGCAGTCATGAGTGTGATCCCTGGAACAAAAAAAAAAGTATTTTCTCTGTGTTGTATTTGAGATACTACGGATTGAGCCCAGGGCCTCACATGTGCTAGGCAAATGATGTACAACCAATCTACATTTAAAAAGTACTATTTAATGAAGGTATGTGCCTTTTTAAAGGCATAATGCTATTCATAGACTGCAGCAGAGTATAAAACATGACTTTGTCCGCAATGGAACCTACAATATCTTCAAGGCATGGTTATAAATGTATAAAATGAGAATTAAAGTGGGGAGTTTATGGGTTCGAAAAGGCTTTTTTAAGAGTTGGCATGAGGTTGGAAGTGCAGGATAGCAAGGGTTTTTTTTAAATGCTATAAATGAGAGATGCAATTTATGTACACTATAGGAGATTAAGTTGAATTGACTCAAAGTGGTTGGCAGAGTGGGGCAGAATCTAGAATGTAGTGTATGTGCTTAGATGACCTGATCTTAGGAAGGCAGAGAATATGTGACTGAGATTAAAGTGAAGCACCTGTAGGAACTTTTGTGAAAATATATATACCATTGTAGCATCAAAGGAGAAAAATACAAAAAGTTAAAAATGTAGTCGCTGATTTAAATAAAGATGAGATACATATGTCAAGAGAAAATGCTTACTGGGATATATGCAGAAACTGGACTTATGAATGAATATAATACGAGAAAAGCCTCTGCACAATGAAGCTGAGAATGAACTGCCTGGGAAAGTACAAAAGAATAAATCAAGCTAACCAGAGAGGAGAATTCCAAGAACCAAGGCGTGATTAAGTATCCTGTTGTGGATAGGGTCTAATAAGATACTTGACAATTAGACTTCCCCTCTGAGACTTTAGTTTCATTAGAGGAGTGATAAGGACAGAATGAAGTGAATTAGGGAGTAAAATGTCTAATGGTAAAGTTACGATACATTTTTGAAACCTTGGATGGAAAAGAAGTAATACAGCAATTTGGCAGGGATTTACATAGGTAAGGGAAAGTGCTTAAAGTTAAAAAAAAACAGTAGATGCCTAAACATTTTTTTATTTGCAAAACCAGGAAAGATGGAGGATGTGGAATGAGTCGGTATAAATTGTTTTTTGTAAGTATATGCTGGGTGAGGTAAGGAAGGTACTTTGAAGAAATCAACTTAAAGAAAAAAATGAGCATTTTAGCCTGTTTAATTCGACAGAGGTGGAGGCTACACAGAGCTCCAGGGAATCTTGGAAATTAAAGGAGTTCTTCTGCAGAACTTAGTTTTCCTCCTTGAGTCAGACTCAATCCAAAGAAAGACTTTCAGACATGGTACAAGGCTTGAAATGAAATGGAATGGATTGACAATTTATGCTAGCTATTCAGGGCCTGAAATAAAGGGTAAAGAAATAATGCATGGCTTTGCAGTCACATTCCACAGGGATTACTGTGTAAGCTGATCTCTCCCTTACTAATTAGGATAAACATACTTTTGTTGTATTAATTGATGAACTTGTTATTGGTTTCTCCTCAAATAATATTCCCTGTCTTGGTTTATCAAAAGCAGACAGTATGATAAGTAAAATTTTTTTAAAAAATTTTAATTTTAATATTTTTGCCCTATAGAACTCATCCATTTGGATTGAATTAATTCATCAGCAGGAAACAAGCTCTCATATAGTCTTGCATTCTCACCTTTGGGTGGGTACCTGTGGAGATTTCTGGTTCCCTTGTTCAGAGCTACTAAGTGGTCAGGACTGGGCCAGAGAACAGTGGTCTCAAAAATTCTTAACGTGAGCTAATGTTTAGGGAGGAATATTTGCAGTGTTTTTCAAGAATATTTTAAGGATTATCTTAGATGAGTTTGTTAATTTAAATGTGCATTATTGTTTTCTAATTATAAAAGTAATAAAATATTTCAAAACTAACAAAATAGAAATGCATAGATGGGCATGATGGTCATCTCACAATTCTAGTACTGTGGGAGACTGAAGCAGAAATATCAAAAGTTCAAGCCCTGCCTGGACAACTTAGTGATTTAGGAAAGACTGTGTCTCTTCCCCCAAAATGTATAAATTTTAGCACACCCATAAAGCCAGCACTTGGGAGGCTGAGACCAGGAGAATTGTTGCAAGTTCCAGATCAGCCTAGGCTACAAAGTGAGCTCCATACCAGCCTGACTACATAGTAAGACTCTGTCTAAAAGAGACAAAAGACAAAAAAAAAAAAAAAAAAGGGCATAAATTCTTAGCCACTCAGAGATTTGCATGGGTCCTTTATTGCTAGCATTCATAATATTTTTAGAAAGGTGATAGTGGTTTGTTAATCATCAGTAATTTCTATTAAGAATGAACACTGGGCATGTGTGGAAGTCAGATCATTGAGTAAAAAGCAGTTTAAAATTTTTTATTAGTAAGATTGAATTAGCATATTTTGAGGCGTGTCTTGCTCTTATATTTTTCAGAAATACTGTAGTTAATGCTGACTTTGTTTGTGTTTGTTTGTTTTTGGTACGGGGAATTGAACTCATGACTTTGTGCTTGCCAGGCAGGCACTGTGTTGCTGAGCTGTATCCCTTGTATCCCCAGCAACATTGACTTCTGAAAGTCAGGGAGTAGAAAAGTAGCTGTTCACTGGGCATGGTGAGGCAAGGCTGTAATCCCAGTGCTTAGGAGGCTGCAGTGAGCTCAAGACCAGTCTGGGATAGTTGTGAATTCAAGGCCAACCAGAACTACATAGCAAAACTTGTCTCGCAGGGTGTGGTGGCTCACACCTGTAATCCGAGCACTCAGGAGGCTGAGGTGGGAGGATCCTTGTGAGTTTGAGACCAGCCTGGGCTACAAAGTGAGCTCAAGGCCAGCCTGAACTGCATAGTGAGACCCTGTTTCAAAAAGACAAAAAAAAAAAAAACCTCTTATCTCAGAAAACTACTTCAGTGGTCAACCCAAACTTCAATTTCTTTCTTTTTTTTTTTTTTTTTTTGGTCTTTTTCCTTTTATCGGTACCGGGGAATTGAACTCACGACTGCCTGCTTGCAAGGCAGGCGCTTATGCCACTGAGCTAAACCTCCAGCCCCCAAACTTCAATTTCTTTGCTTTTACGGTTATTATCATCACTATCGTTTCATGTTTGTATTCCTTTCTAATTTGTGGTGGTTTTAATTTTTGATTTTGGTTTTTGAGACAGCGTCTTGCTGTATTGTTCAGGCTGGCCTTGGAACTCAATATGTAGCCCAGGCTGGCCTTGAATTCATGGGGATCCTCGTGCCTCAGTCCCCCGAGTGCTGGGATTACAGGCATGCCTCACCACGATCAGTTTAATTTGTGGTTCTTATTTTTTTTTTTTTTTTTTTTTGTCTTCATTTTTATCAGTACTGGGGATCGAACTCACGACCACCTGCTTGCAATGCAGGTACTTATGCTGCTGAGCTAAATCCCCAGCGTCTAATTTGTGGTTCTTAATCCTTATTCCACTGTAATGCTTAAGTTAGCAATACTGATTCTTATTTGGAATGATTGCCTCTTCAGGAGAGTTACAACAGGGCATTATAGTTGCAAAGATCCTGCTTATGAAAACAATAGTAACTCCGCGATTCCTGTGGGAGAATGTCAGGTATCAGTTTCAATTCAGAAATAGAATGTACATATATATTAACAAAGTTGGAGAATTAGAAATAGCGGTATGTGAGTTGTTATATAACTGTGTTGTACTTTGGTTACCATATTACATCAAGATTAACATTTTTAGAAACGATTTTTTTTTTAGGTTGAGAAATTTGTAAAGGTGAATTTAAAAAAATAGTTTCCTAGGGTTATAAGCAGAGGTGGAAGATGTTGCTCCAATAAGCTCTCTAAAAGTAATAAAAGATTATAAAGAAATTATACGTGTTTGGCTCATGTTAGATTCGTATTTTTTTTTTTTTTTACTATCAAGTTACAGTTTGGGCATGAACTATTTGCTAAATAAGTTAATTAAATGTTTGTGATTCAGGCAGAAAAAGTAGAAACCGAGGAGGCAGGAGTAGTGACAACAGCAACAGCATCTGTTAATCTAAAAGTGAGTCCTAAGAGAGGACGACCTGCAGGTAGGCTTGTTATTTAAATATTTGGCTTGTGATTAATATCCAGTCTATTAAAAGTATTGCTGCCTCAAGTGTTTTGAAGTGTAGTGGATAGGCAGTTGAGTACAACTTCATTATTTAATGATAGGGATATAGATAAGTGAGAAATGCAGTTTCATTGTGCAGACATTATGTTAGGCAAACTAAGATAGCTATGTTCATAGGCTGTGTAACCGAATCTTACGGGACCGCAGCTGTATATGCAGTATTTCTGACAGAAATGTTGTATTGTACATAACTGTATGTGCAGAATATTAAAGGAGGTACATGTGGTTTCTGCTGTGTGATGTAATACTCAAGTTGGAAATGGTCACCTTTTTCTTTGTTTTAAGGGGTCTCACGAGGCATAAGCTTTCTAAGTGGAGTCATAAACACAGCATTTGCTTAATATTAACAGCTGTTAATTTATATTTCTTGTTTGTAAGAATATATAACATGTTGCTCTCTTCATGGCCTACTTACTATTTTCTTACTTTGGCAAATAGGGAGGACCTTCCTAATACAAAGTTTAAAAAAATTAACAAAAATTGAACCAGTTTTTTGTTTCATAACAGTTTCATAACAGGATTCTTACTGAAGAGAGCTAAAATGAATATCCAGGAAAAAATAGCATGTCAGAGCACAGTACTGGGGCTGGGGATTTAGCTCAGCGGCATAAGCGCCTGCCTCGCAAGCAGGTAGTCGTGAGTTCAATCCCTGGTACCGATAAAAAGGAAAAAGACAAAAAAAAAAAAAAAAAAATTGCAGTACTGTTATAATGGATCAAATTAATGGTGTTTAAAAACTTGGTGAATTCTGATTCAGACTTACAAAGATGTTTGTTAATATACATAATATTATGGTATGTCTGAAAATTTACTAGTGAATAAAGTTGAATTTATGACATCACTGTTAAAACATCAGTGAAAAATGCTGTTTTTCAGATTTAGATTGAGAATTTTTTTAAAGGTGAATTTAAAAAAAAAGCCCTTTGAGATATACAGAAGACAAATTTAAAATTGCATTATTCAGATTTTTTGCTTTTGCTCCTTTGATTCATGAAGATAGTATTTAAAAAAAAATTGTAAGTCACTGTATCTGTAGTAAGATACCAAATGACAATTTTTATGTAGTATTAAAATCTTTATATATGAGATATGTATTTTTTTACAGGAACTAGTAGTTAATGATTTTTTTTTTCCTCCCACGTGAATGTTAGCCTCAGACGTCAAGATTCCAAAGCCAAGAGGCAGACCCAAAATGGTAAAACAGCCTTGCCCTTCAGAGAGTGACATGTGAGTTTATTTTAATGTATAAGTTGCTCAGTAAATGAGACTTTAAGTCTATACATGTATCACTTTGCACTTTTACCAGTTTTGTTTTGTTTTATAGGATGTATGTTCCTCACTATAAGTATTTTGATACTTAGAAAACTAACAGGAGAAATGGGGAAATTTTTGTAATGTCCACAAATCTTTTTTTATTTCCTCCAGAATAAGTGTTTTATTTTAAACTAGTGTTAAACATTTTTGTAGTGAAAATTTAGGACTGATTTCAGAATAACTAGTTATCAAAAAAGTGTTTCTTCTTGCCACTCCCACCTCCTACACATAAGGACGTGATTTAGTTTGGCTTTTTCTGGAAAAAATTAACCAGGAGGGATATAAATTCATTCCATGGGAGAGAAAAACTTTTTGTAGCGATTGTGTTTAAAGACTTTATAAGGAAGGCTTAAGTGAAATATGTCAATTAATTTATATCTCAGCTACTTGGGACACTAAGGCAGGAGGATCACAAGTTTGAGGGCAGTCTGGGTGAGTTAGACCTTGCCTTAAAAAAAATGAAAGAAATAGATTTACAGTGTTTTGAATGAACAGGTCATCTTTAATTATAGAATGATACTGCAGGGTTTTTTTGTTTTGTTTTGTTTTTTAGAAAAGGCCTCACTGTAGTTCAAAGAGGCCATGGACTCAAGTAGTCCAGGCTGGCCTTGAACTCTGTGATCTTCCTGCCTCAGCCTCCTGAGTGCTGAGATTACAGGAGTATGCTACTAAGCCTGATGGTCAGAAGTGGTACTTTCAACTGAAATATATTTAAACTAAACTCCCCCCCCCCTTTTTAAAAATGACACTAGACATTGAATCCAGGGACACTGCTTCTGAGCTACATCCCCAGCTGTTTTTATTTTGTATTTTGAAATAGGGTCTTTCTAAGTTGTCCAGGTTGCCTTTGAACTTGTGATTCTTTATTTCCTTGAAAAGTTGGGATTATACAAATGCACCACCATGCCTGTTCTCTTTTCTTGCAGTATTTTGGATAAATACAGGGCTTTACAATATCCTAAGCACATATTGTACCATTGAGTTTCAAAAATATATTTAAAGAGCTTTATTTTATTGCAAATCTAGCTGGTAAAGTATTCTTAAAAATAAGCTGGATGCAGTGGCAGGTACCTAAAAAGTTCTCAGGCTGAGGCAGTAACATTATTTGAGCCTGCGAGTTTAGGGCCAAATTGGGCAAAATAGACCTGTCCTTTTAAAAAAAATTTTAAAGGACTCTCAAATAGTAGCATGTAAAACCAATATATTGTATATTTGAAAGTCAAGAAAATAGAATTTAAGCATTTTTAACACAAAAAAGGTAATGTACATGTTAAGCAGCTGAATTTAGCCATTTCACAATTTATAGATGCTCTGAAACATGTTGTATTGCTCTGAAACATGTTGTGTGCTATAAATATATAAAATTTTTGTCAGCAGCACAAATACACAACATAGTTTACTTAAGTTGTTTTCTTCTGTAGGTGAGTTTGTTCATAGGCAGTGTTTCTTAGGAATTCTTAAACTTTAGGAAAACATTGTGAGAGACGCTGTTTTTTCTATAGGGATGTTTCTGGAGTAGGCCCTGGTTTTCCATGAGAAGTACCCCTTTGTTGCCATAGCTTTTGGCTGATGCATGTGGAAGTTCTCTGTTTTTTTCACTATCTTGTCTGTAGTTGGGAAAATAGTTCTTTTTTAATCAGTGGGCAGCTTTCTCATCTGGCTTTCAGACTGTAAGGATTTGAGGGTCCAGTATTTCTTTTTAGAGTTGTTCTTTTTGATGGAGTTTGGTGTCATTCTTCATACAGTATTTTATTGTGTACTCAGTTCTAGTTAGCTTCATGTACAGTGCTCTCATTCACAAGACTCCCAGATGAGCTTATGTTTTTGTATTTAATTACACATAATTTGAATTTAGAGATTTTCCTAATAATGACCCTTAGAAACTATCCACTAAAGAATGAAGACAGTTCAGGAATTATGTTTCCATCTGAAGACTTTAAAATTTGAGACAGCTTCTCCTTGTTACTCTAGCTGGCTTTGAACTTCTGGTCCTCTTCCCTCAGATGCAGAGTGCTGAGATGTATAGGCATGTTATCACCATGCCTGGTTCCAGTTTGAATGCCTAAGACTGGCAGCTATACTCTTGATTAGATCTTTGACCTCAAGCTCTCTGAATTTGAAAATTTTACATCCTAATTTGAAAAACAGACTACTGAGCCTGTAATCCAGCTCTTGGGAGGCTGAGGTAGGAAGAGGATCACCAAGAGTTTGAGGCCAACCTTGACTTGCATAGTTCAAGATCAGCCCAAATTCTACATAATGAGACTCTGCCTCAAAACACTACACAATAAAACAAAACAATAAAAAGGAGTCTGTTGACTTACAAGTATTCTGCCTTGAAACCTCTTCAGCCAAAGTCACAAGTTCATTGAATACATTTTCTTTTGTCCCATTATCCTAGTCCAACAGTACAATGACATATTAAGAGTAAAAAGTTTTCATTAGAGGCTTGGGGTGGAGGAACAGTACGAAAAGGCAAATAGAGTTTAGATAATGTATTCCAAAGTACAGTATATGGGAGGAATTCTTTCTAATGCTTCGTAGTGCAGTAAGGATAACTATGAAGGTTCCTAACACTAAAGATCCCGATTATGCTTATTTGATCATTACTCACTATATACATTTTGTCAAATTATACTCCGTAGTATAACTGACATAATATTTAATATAATTTAATATTTAATATATAATATTTAACATAATATTTAACATAATATTATGTCAATTAGAAATTTGTAAAGGGATTAAAAGTAAGTTCAGTAGTAGAGTACTCATCTAATATAAATGAGGTCCTGGGTTCAATATTCACAACACAAAAAAATTGGTTCTAAAAAGTTTGGGTTTCCAGCTTCTCAGCTGCAAAGTGAATATAACAACTTACAGGTTTTTGTACTTGCTACCAGTTTAGTGAGGCAATAGATAACCCTAAAATAGTAGTATTTTACAATATTTATTTACGGGGGTTGAACCCAGGGCCTCTGACCATTAGCACTCTACTCTGAGTTATATCCCAACCCTTTTTATTTCAAAAAAGGGACACTGTGTTGCCCAGGCTGGATGCCAACTTTTTTTCCTCCTGCCTCACCTCAGTAGTACCTCACATTACTGGTGTGTATCACCTTGTTCCCAACTATGTTTGTCCATGCTTTATGTAGGCGGTGTTTTAGCTGTAGCTATCCTTCGTAGTATATCTGGGCATACTGAGTAGAGTGCAGAACTAATCTATATGAGCTCTTATGAAACGTCTCTTCATCATGAGAATAACGTGTCTGTTGCTGACCGTTTTGCAGTGAGTACTGAAGTGACAATAGGATAGAACTCATGAGAGATGAAACCAACTTAGAATACTCTTATAAAGTTAAGAAATATTTGTGATAAGCTACTGAGATATTTGGGGCTGTCTTTAGTCTTTACTTAACTAACATGTATTAGAAAACTAAAGAAACTTACAGTTTTCCTAATGTGCCTTAAACTGTTTTAAAGAGAGATTTATTGGACTGGGGATGTAGCTCAGTAACAGCACTTGCCTAGCATTCTGAAAACACTAGGTTAAATCCCAGCACTATGCACAGTCAGAATTTTATGGAAGGTGGCAAGAAGGATCACAGGGGAAAGACTCATTTAGCAAGCATAGTTTCCTTCTTTGCTTTTTGAAAACTTGAAACAATCCTCTTAGGAGCCAATGTAATCACCTCTTTGTTGGTTTGTTTTGAGATGAGGTCTCATTATGCCCACTGTCTAGGCATTGGTTTTAGGCTCAAAGTGGTCCTTCTGCCTCAGCCTCCTGAATAACTGGATTTGTAGAAATGATAAACTATGTTTTGTTTTACTTTTTGGTGGTCACACTGAGCTGTTTTAGAATTTTGAGATGTATAGTGTCTCACTAACTTGCCCAGGTAAGATTTGAATTTGTGATTTCTGCTTCAGCCTTCCAAACGCTGGGATTACAGATGTACACTACCGAAGCCAGTTTACAAGAACACAGTGTTTTCTGCATGCTAAGCATGTGCTTTATCACTGAGCTAGAGCCCCAGCCCCATCTTTTTAAAAATATATGCCTAAAGTACTTTAGGCATATATTTTTAAAAACTGCATGGTGTTTCACTGTATTGTAATTTTAAAAATTTGCTTCCATATTTGGGTACAATCTTTAAAATACACTACAGGCTCAGGCTATGGTTCCATGGCAGGACATCTGGGCTTAATATGGATGTTGTCCTGACTTTATTCCCTAGCACCATAAAACACATTCATAGAGTCTCTGTTTTACATTTGGAGATATATTCATTAGAATAACGCTACCTGAAGTAGATTGGCTTTTGTATTTTCAGTAGTCATTTTTTTCCACAGTAGTTTTGGAGGGAAGCATATGGCTGATAACGCTGAAGAGCCACAGAAATGTTTTTTGTTTGGCTCTATTCCTGTTTTTAAGAAATTATTACTATTATTACTTTTGGTACCAGGGATCAAACTCAAGCCTCGTGCTTGTCAGGCAGGCTCCTTATGCTGCTGAGCTATATGCCGGCCCCCAAAAGTTACTGAAATACTAACATTTTATGGGTATGCTTTTTCTTGCATTGATTGAAAGTAAAAGGTAAACCCTGTATGACATTCGAAAATAAGCTTATCCAGTGATAATTTTCTGAAGAAGCAAAAAGTGAATTTGTCTTCTAATTTAATGTCTTAAGCATCCAAGGAAGCACTTAATTGTAATGAAAGCACTGAACACACTAAAGTCCCTTCCAGCTCTAAATATAGTCTAACTTATGAAAGTCTCAGTAAAAAGTCCTGGGATGGTAAAAAATACAGTTTTTAATAAAACAATTCCAAATTGAAGTCTTTTTGTGGGCAGTGGGTACTGGGAATCAAACTTGTGCTCTTGAGCTATATCCTTGGCCATGAAGTATTTCTTTAAAAGAATTGCTGTAATTGAACATAAATACATAAAAGTATTGTTAGCATTTATATCATTTGACTTTCACTCGAGGGCATATTTCTGGTATTGAGATTTCATAAAACTTACTCAGTAATTAGCAAGTTGACTTGATTCGGGGTAGTAGGAATACTTTCGTGGGGATCAACTCAGCACTGTTTAATGTTACTGTTAATTGGCCATAAATTTACCATTACATGCCTAAAATATTTCTTTGAATTCCAAAATGACTATTTAACTTCTGCAATTTGAGTTTTCTCAACGTGTCTACTTTTAAAAAATAATTTATTCTTATAAATATGTAGACTATAACTCCATAAATGGAGCTGCATTTTTAACATTACAAGGCCATGGTTTTAGTTCCAGCACCAGAAAACCCTATATACTCTTTCTCTTCCCCTCTACAAGAGCCAGGGATCTTGATCATGTTACACATCGCTGTATAATGAATTAAGAACATGTGGCACATTGCTAGTATTCAGATTTTTTTTTTTTTTTTGGTATCAGGGATTGAACTCTCGACCTTGTGCTTGCCAAGCAGGCGCTTACACCACTGAGCTAAATCCTTGGCCCTCAGATTATTTTTTTGCACAAATGAATCATAGTAGAACTTAGAAGCTGGGTGCCATGGTGCACTTGGAGCTTGAGGCCAGCCTAGACAACATAGTGAGACTTGTCTCAAAAGGAAAGGGACAAGAGTTTCTATTCACCTAATGGCACTATTTCTTACGCTCTCATTTATACAGAAAGGGTGTTTTGTTATAGAATTCCTTTTATGATGAAATGATTAAGACATTTTTACTTGAAAATGTTACAGATTTACTTTTTTTTTTTTTGTCTTTTTCCTTCTTATCTGTACCCGGGATCGAACTCACGACTGCCTGCTTGCAAGGCAGGTGCTTATGCCGCTGAGCTAAATCCCCAGCCCCTACAGATTTACTTTTAAACTTGAGACAGGGTCTAACCTAAGTTCACTGGGCTGACCTTGAACTCACAGCTGATGTGCTTCAGTCTCTAGTCTCTGGGATCATAGGCACCTGACTTATTTTTACCTAAAATAATTGACACCATGATTATAAATGACTGATAAGTAATGATACGTGAAAGCTTATTTTCCATTGTTGCACTCTCAAAAATAGGGTTGCTGAAGATGACAAAAGTAAGAAAAAGGGGCAAGAAGAAAAACAACCTAAAAAGCAGCCTAAAAAGGATGAAGAGGGCCAGAAGGAAGAAGATAAACCAAGGAAAGAGCCAGACAAAAAAGAGGGCAAGAAAGAAATTGAATCAAAAAGGAAAAATTTAGCTAAAACAGGGGTTACATCAACCTCTGATTCTGAAGAGGAGGGAGATGATCAAGAAGGTGAAAAGGTGAAAATTCACACAAATTTTTTTTTTGGTTTTGAGTTTCTTAAGTAGTTCTTGATCTTTACCTTGTAACTTCTGATATTTTTATGAATCCTCACCTGGATTTACCTTTGAGTAGGCTTCCATATTAGTCACATTAAAAAGCATACTTGAAACTTTCGTGTATTTTTTTTCCTAAATTTATTTTACCTTGTCATGATTATGACCTGAAAACTAAATACATATTTCTAGTAATTTGATCTAAAAAAAGGGTCAGAAATAAGCAAAGTTAGTTGTGAAGACAAATATAAAAGATTTCTATATATGTTTTATCATATTTTACTCAATGAATTTGTCTTTATACCTATTTATTGTAATTTTCTCAGTGATCTGTAACTTTATTTGAATGCCTTTCAGTCTTAATTGGGACTTTCATTAGAGTTATGTGTCCTACACAGATTGTATATAGCCTGAGATATGTGTAGTTGCAGATCACACAGGTACTTTATTTTTCCTGAGTTTTTATGTTTTAGTTCTTAAGAAGCCAAATTTTTAAATAGAAACATGTACTTGTCAATACTCAAGTTAAAAATCACTGTATAGAGGCAAATAGTCTTAACATACTTTATCCATCACTCCTACAGCAAGAAGTACACTATTAAATGATCATAAAGAAAATTAAGTTTGTGAAGCAGAGATGTAATTCAAACTAGTGTTTTTCTTCCAAGATTGTAATTGCATTTAATGATCACTGACTTGATAGTTAATTAAATTCATCCTGACTTTTAAAATAGAAGAGAAAGGGTGGAAGAAACTTACAGACTGCTCACAGGAGGAATATGCTGAAAAGCCAACATGAGAAGGAAGCTGCAGATCGAAAACGCAAGCAAGAGGAACAAATGGAAACTGAGCAGTAAGTGTTCTTTTTATTCTAAATTCTGGATTTTTAAGGCTAGCATGACATTGTTATACAGTAGACTTCCAATTTTGACTTCATGAAGCCTTTTAAAGTATACTTTCCCGTATAATAAAAACCCTACATATATAATGATGATGAGGTCATAGTCCAAGCTTTATTATTTTCTGAGTGAGGATGAAATTCATGGAGGCAGTCATCCTGTGAATTATTTTTCAGTTTACAGTGAAAGTGCACGTTTTATCTGTTAGTGGTTTTGCAGAAAATATCCTCTGCCATTTATTTGTGTGATGTATATAGAGTAATAATATATTGGTGGAGGAAAAACGCAAGAATACTTTTATTTGTCATACCACCAGCAGGCCTATCCCTACAGACCAGCACAAACAAAAGCACAGTTAGAAACCCAAGAAGCCAGTAAAAGTAAATCCAATGGCTGGCAGGGTTTACATTCAATGTGTATAACATAAATGAAATTCAGATCTGTTTTCCCTTATGTTTTGATACTTGTATATACAGTATTTACTTTCCATGGGGAATTAACCCTTCACTGTATAATTTTATTAATAGAAGAGTCACAGCAATGATAAATGGTGATTAGAGTTTGTTTTTATTCATTTGTTTTCCTAGTTACTTTTAGACTGTCACTTCTGAGTTCTTCTCTGAAATATTTCTTTCTTTGTGAAGTGTCCTACACTGACTAAATTTTTTTGTTAGTGAGGAAGTAATTTTTAAAACATGCTAAGACAAAGTTAATAATCAGTGAAACTTTAAAAAATTCTTGAAGGTTTTTCTTTATACTACATCTGTAAGCCATCTTTATAGGTCCAGCATTTACCTCAGCATTAATTGTTTGGAGGATTTATAAGCAGTGTTAGCTGCTTGAGGGAGTAATTTAAAGATTTATCTAAAGCTCAGAACTGTTACTCCCAATGTTAAACTTTGAACCCTTCTGTAAATATTTTTTGTTATCTATCCTTTTCTCTTTTCACTGGAAAGTTGTTGGACTGTTTGTTGCTTTTAACTTTATTGTGCTCCCAAAAACAAGATATAAAATTAGTTGTTGCTTAGTAAATCAGCACAATTCTTTTTTAATATCTCAAAGTTATCTATATGTATTTCATTTTCTTTTGAATGTCCTCCAATGTAACTATCTCAAATTCTAATATTTGTGTTTTCTTTCCTTCTCCTGTTATTACAAAACTTTGTACTTGGACAGTTTTGCTCTGTAAAGCATTTCAGATGCAACTTGTGTGAAATGCATTATGCAAAATAAAGTTTATTGTATTGTATTCCCAGCCAAACAACATGTAATCTACAGTAATAAAAAATATATCTCATTTTGGGCTCAAAGCATTAATCCAGTTACTGAAAAGAGAATACAAGTGGAGCAAACAAGAGATGAAGATCTTGAGACAGACTCATTGGACTGAATTTCCCCCTTACCCCCTTGATGGAAGAATGTTCCAGATTCTAAATTGAGGACTTCATTATTAATGGCATTATTACTGTGTTTGATTGTTAACAAAATTTATTGTAAGGTACACACTACATACTAAGGTCAGCCATCATTCCTGTTAAGCTTTTTACCAAGCTTAAAATGAAGTTTTGTGTTTGGAAATTATAACAAGCCTAGATGAAGATGGTGGTTGTACATTATTCATTTAAAGAATATAAAAATTGGTTTTGTTTTGAAGCTAGGTATTAATTGGAATAACTATTATACCCGAGAATGGGGCAGCTGTGCCCTTTCTTTGACATTCCTTTGTTAATTCTTTAGAATCTTAATTGTTTTTTTAATCCTGAGAGATTAAGCAGTAGACTTGTTAAGAAAAAAAAATTGAACCTGTAACCAAAATTTTAAAATAAAGTTTTTTTAAAAAAACCTGATTTTTAGATACTTTTTTGTTCGTCTATTTTAATTGGTTTATAATATGGCCTGAACTCTAAGCTGAGGTACTACAAATTAAGATTTCAGTTTTAAATGGTTATTTTTGTGACTTATAGTTAAATGGTACCTTTTCATTTGTGAAATGGTATGTAAATGTTAGTGGATGTCATTTGAAATACTGACCTCCCCCATTTTAAAAAAATCATACCAGGATCTTATGTCTTATTTAATCTTGAAGTGCACTTGAAAACTCCTTAAGTTATACTTTGTATTGGATATGTGGGGAACAATTAACTGGTCTGTTTTGACATGCTTCTTTTAAAAATAACTGATGCAGAATCCATTAAACACTTAGAGATGCACTCTTCCCATCAGGGCTCGTCTGTTCACTCATCCGAAGTTGAGCTTTGAACAGCAGTGTTGTTTGAAAGAAAAATTTCACTGTGACAATGTCAAAATCATTTTGTGGTATCTCTGAATATTAGACTTAATTGGTATGTTAATTTTGAGTTTCATTTTTATTTATGCTATTGTTGTGATATAGGATAGTTCTAAAAACTATAGCTAGTACCTTATACAAAAAGGGATGTGGACATTTGGTAATTAGTCACAGTGTGCCAATGTTTTGAAATATTTGTGTTAACATTTGATAGGCAGAATAAAGATGAAGGAAAGAAGCCAGAAGTTAAGAAAGTGGAGAAGAAGCGAGGTTAGTTATTTTACTTTTTAAGATGTTTAAAATATACCAAGAAAGCTATATAGACAATTTCTTACGATCGGTTTTAGAGTCTCATGTGCTTATATCCTACAAATACACTTTTTTGAATACTTCATAGATCCATTTAAATTTCACTTATACATCTGTATTTCCTGCCCTTTAAAAAACTTTTAGACAATGCCCCACTGAATTGCCTAGGCTGTGCTTGAATTTGTGACCCTCCTACCTCAGTTTATTTATTAGTCCTGGGGTTATGGGTGTGCATCACTATACCTAGAGCATCATAAATTCCATTACAGTTTAAGCATAACCAAGGTGAAGTTGCTAAAGAAGTATATTTATATATAACATTTTATGGTGTCAGATTTTTCTAACCTTTGCCAAAAGCTGGACATTTTACATTTTTGACAAATCCCTTGTGGTTAGATGTGTAGGTGAAGAACTAATGAGCAGAGGAGTTCATTATTTGATACAGACTTCTTTATTTTGGGAAAAAAATCCAGCTAGACGGTCAGTTTGAGTTTTTGCTGCATGTTGCTTTACCAAACCTATTTTTAAAAGTACATAACTTCTTAAGCTATTTTCCATCTACATGAGTTTCTTAGTACTAAGAACAATTTCTTTAAGGCCACCATTTCATTATACTTTGCTTAGACTATATAGAAACTGGTTTTAGAAGTTATTTACTATTTTTCACATATTTTAATTTATAGAAACTTCAATGGATTCTCGACTTCAAAGGATACATGCTGAAATTAAAAATTCACTCAAAATTGATAATCTTGTAAGTGTTTAACCTCACTTAAAAGATAATGCTGCTTTTACAGCTTATTTTTCTCATGATTTTATAAATATGTAAAAATTAATCTAAAATGGACAAGAACTAGTCATTTTGTACTGCCTTGAGATTTCAGTTTGTATTTTCTGTGGTAATTAATAGTCACAAAATTACTGTTTTATTGTGAAGGATGTGAACAGATGCATTGAGGCCTTGGATGAACTTGCTTCACTTCAGGTCACAATGCAACAAGCTCAGAAACACACAGAGATGATTACAACCCTGAAAAAAGTAAGTTATTTCAGGTCATGGGGTTTTTAAAAAATCTTGTTACTTCATTAAAAATAAAAAGTGAATTAGGGAAAGTTATAAATATATATTGTTTTCTCAGATACGACGATTCAAAGTTAGTCAAGTTATCATGGAAAAGTCTACAATGTTGTACAACAAATTTAAGAACATGTTTTTGGTTGGTGAAGGAGATTCTGTCATCACACAAGTGTTGAATAAATCTCTTGCCGAACAAAGACAGCATGAGGAAGCGAATAAAACCAAAGATCAAGGCAAGAAAGGGCCAAACAAAAAGCTAGAAAAGGAACAAACAGGTATGTGGCAATATATTTGAGGCCAGCTTTCTTTTACCTGGACTGTGCTTAGCATGCACAAGGCCCAGTTGTCAATCCCCAGTACTGCTACAGGAAAAACAGTGTGAATGTTTTGAATTCACATACAAAAAATACTTTCAGGTTCTGTAAGTTGTTGGAAGTAGATACTAAAGCTTTTTAACATTATTCATGTGAGGGTTCATTATGCATTCATTCACTTTAAAATGGCCAAAATGGCCTTGATTCAGGCATTTGGTTATTGTTTCAATGGAGTTAAATATTACCACTGTGAAGAAAATGCCTGCTGACTACAGTGCATGGTCAAAACACATGATGTCTTACTGAAGGACTAGAGCAGGGTGCATTAATAACAAGTCATGTCAACTTATGAAATCAAGTAGTTTTTTCAGTTTTTTTTTTTTAAATAAAAATGAGTGTCAGTGAGGCAGATAACCCTGAGGAAGATATTTTGGAAAGCCATCCAGAATGCGTCAGCCCTTGTCCCTATAAGGTCCCACCTGGTCCTTCAGCTGCTTCTGGTATTTCTAAACACCTCCCTCTGCTTACAGTGTAATCTTTTAATCGAAATGTAACATCATGGGTGGGGCCTGAAAGCTATTTCTTGCTGTTGTTTATAGTTAATACAATCTGAGGTCCTGTGCTTAGTTACACTGAACATTTTTTTATTAAACTTACGTATGAATAAGAAAATGATTGTTTATAGGTAGCATATGAAGGCAGAGTCAAGAATGATGGTAAGGCCAAACCAACCACAGATCCCACCTCTGATGGCTCAGTGTACACAGGCTCTTGTTTCATAGACAAAATGATTGAAAATAACAGTGTTGGGGTTGGGGATTTAGCTCAGTGGCATAAGCGCCTGCCTTGCAAGCAGGCAGTCGTGAGTTTGATCCCCGGTACCGATAAAAAAACGAAAAAGACAAAAAAAAAAAAAAATCATGAAATGTTAACTTAAGGTTATGTGTATAAGGTACATAGGAAATCAGTTTTGATTTCATGCATTCATAAGGGATTACTTTTGTACCTATAAGGTTTCTGACTGTTACAAATTCTGCAGATTATTTTAAAGCTAATTCTAAACATACCTTTTTACCCATTTAAGATATACCCTTTTTTTTTTTTTTTTTTTTGCAAGGGCTGGGGGTACAGAGTCTTGCTATGTTGTTTAGGCTGGCCTTGAACTCAGGGCATTCCTCTACCCTCAGCCTCCTAGTCCTGGGATTACAGGTATGCACCACCATACTGGGCAGTAATATATACCTCTTAACAGGCCCTAATTCCAAATTAATAAACATCTTACCTGGCAGATGCTTTTAACTGAGGTGAAAACCAACATTTCAAAGGCAGTTGGATTTTCTCATTTATTTAGGCTATGATAGATCTTCATTGATAATATTTATAGCAAAACCTGTGATATATTTACTGACCCCAAATCATGTCAGTTAAAAACACCTTCACTTATTTTAAAATGCAATAATGATAAATGCTAAATCATTTATTCTAATAACCAAAAATTAGTCATCATGTGCTAACTAATCACATTAAACATCAAACTTCTTTAGCCATAAATACATGGAGAGTAAACCTGATCCTTACTGTGCTTTAGGTATGCAAATGACTTCGGTGATGCTAGGAGTTGGCAGTACAGCTCTTTAATGAAACTATTATTCCTATTTTTGGAAATGACATAAAGCCCAGTCCTGAAATTCCAGAGAGGACTGAAAACACTATAGTTTCAAATGTAAGACTTAACTGTTAGAACTTGAGGCTCATGTTGTATTTTTGAATCTTTTGAGGACTGTCTAAAAGTATTATCTTATGAGCTCTGACAAAGGTTTTCTATTTGAATCCTCAAGGTTCAAAGACTCTAAATGGAGGATCTGATGCTCAAGACAGTAATCAGCCACAGCATAATGGAGATAGCAATGAAGAAAGCAAAGACAACCATGAAGCTGGCAGTAAGAAAAAGTGAGGACACTGATGGTTCATGTTTCTCTTGGGGGATGAGGTTTTTGCTCTGTTGCCCAATCCATCCTCCTGCCTTACTTTCTCAAGTAGCTAAGACTAGATGTGTGCCACTGTAGGTTATATTTTGAATGTTTGATTCTGTAATATAGAAAGTGAGTTGCAAATCAAAAAGCTAATGAGGGGTTCTGGAGTTTAGGCTAAGGCTTAGGAAAATACCCCCCTCCCCTATGTAAGACTTTTCTGTTGACTTGCTTCCATGCATAAATTGAGAGGATTTTATATAGTATTAAAATGATTCTATCTATAATTTTTATTTTATTTTCAAGATAGAGTCTTGCTGTGTAATCCAGGCTGGCCTTGAACACAGTGATCATCCTGCCTCGGCCTCCCAAGTGCTAGAATTATAGGCATGTGCTACAATGCCTGGCTCCATATGTAATTGTTAATGTATAATATGTAGCGATGGGAAATTTTATGCTGATTGGCTGTGCCTTAAAACAGTTATAAAATTGCAGTCATGAGTCTTAGTTTATTCATTTGAAGAATTTGGACTTGTAATTTAGAACATGTTGGTGTCATTGACACCATGTTAATTTAAGTCTCTTTTGAGAGAATTCAGTTTAAAGCCAAAAAGGGCCTGATATATCGTATTGCCCTGACCTATCTTGCTTTTCATTTATATGTCATTTTAGGAAGACACAATATGATGAATTCTGAAAAAGAAATGACAGTACCTTAAGGATTTATTTTGATCTTTTGTATGATATAAATAACGTAATGCACAGCTAATCCTAATCCCAGTTGTCACACATTTTTCTCCCCACTCCCTTTAGGCCATCCAGTGAAGAAAGAGAAACTGAAGTATCTCTGAAGGAGTCTACAGTAGATAACTAGGTTGACATATACAGTATCTGGAATGTAAGGAACATTTGAGAAGTTTGTAGTAGTTTTGAAATATTTAGACTGCTGAAAGTTTTAAATTTTTATAAACATAGGTTTTGATGTTTAAAACTTAAGGGAGAAAATCCCTTTATCTTTGTTTAAAAGTTAATAAACATTATTGCTAATTGTACTTGTGCAGTATTAACAGCTATATTATACAGTAAATGTGGGGTGAAATCCACTTAATGTTAAACTACTTTTCCAGACATGGTTGTAGCATATTTTCAGTTAGTGTGTGTATGTTAATGTGTAATTGGTAGAACAAAGTTAAATTTTTAAAACTGCTACTTGTACAAATATTTCCCCTTTTCTCAGATTCTGTGGGTTTTGTGCATAGTTTTTACAAATCTTGGATTTATCAGACTGTCTTTTCACTGTGGGTTTTGTAGAAGTTGAGCATTTTTTTTATGGTTGATAAAATGTTACTTCTATACAAGTACTCCTTCCTTTTTATCAAAAAAGTTAATTTTAATCTCATTGTGCAACATTATCCTGCTTCTTTGTAACGTGTGGCCTGATACCCCTTTGTATGACAACTAGATATTCAATGGACATTGAACTGACAGTTCTGTATGGTACAAAAACTCTTGTTAACTTTTGGAGATAGTTTTTTGGCTGGGAATTCAGTGAAGACATACAACTTCCCTGCAAAAAATAGATGGGTATATATGAGTTTGATTTTAGGGTTCTGCCATCTGAGATCCTTTACAAGACACTAGTAATGAAACCTGAAAACGAAGTGTTTATTTTTGAGAAATGTCATAAGTCACACTCATTAAGTCACAAATAGTATTTTTTTAATTGGAAAAAAATCAATCTGTGATGCTTATGTGGTAAATATAAATAAATGCTATATGAAACAGTTAACTTATTTGAAAACACAGCTATATTAGAAGGGAATTTGTATTTTCACTTCTCTATCATACATGCAACAGGATTACAAAGAAGTAGTTGTTCAAGGCAATGCTAGTCTGTATTTTGATATATATGGACTCAATCAGGGAGAGCCAACATTAACACAAAGAGTTATTAACTAAAGGATAACATTTCTAAGATACTTAAAATATTAGATCAGTTGGCTTTCAATAAGCAGAAAGATTTGTTCTTAACGTTTTAAAATTTTATGAATATGGGAAAATGACATCAGTGCTTGTGTGTGACATGCAGTGTATGTTTTGACCTCTCAGACAGTGGCTTTCATCTGTACATAATCTGAATTATTTCAGTAATAGCATTTTTGCTTTTGAGAGGTCTTACAATAGAGCTAAGATCTGCTAATTTGAGGAACTCTGCTATTATATATCACTCGTGTGTCTTGTCCATAATAATAAAAGTTTTGGACAGATTTATTCTAGGTAAGCCATAAGTGTTGATGTGTAAACTTGTTTTGATTAAAGAACTTTTCTATCAAATTTTATTGGTAAATTATGTCCTTGTTATTTTTAAAAGAATAGAAGGAATTCTTGATTTGCTGCTGAGGAAATAATTTACATTAGTCACTGAGATGCTGTTGTTTGGGGGTAGATCTATAGGGCTAACTAAGCACTAAGCTCAAGTAGGTAAAAAGAATGAAATGCTGTTTCATTTGTTCCTGTGACCCAAAAAACCACAAACTAGTCAACTTCTGGCTATATTAGCAGCATTGTGGTAATTTTTTTTTTCTTTTTCCTTTTTGCTGGTACCAGGGATTGAACTCATAACCACTTGCTTGCAAGGCAGGTGCTTTTGCTGCTGAGCTAAATCCCCAGCCCCGCATTGTGGTAATTTATAACTGCTTACATAAGCTGACTGATGGTTCCTTAAAGCATAGTTGGGTTTTAAGTTTTCCTTATCATAAGCTGACTTAGGTATCAGAACTCATAAAATTTCTTATAAATTATCAATTTAAATTGCTATATTCGGTTATAAATCCACATATGAACAAATCAGTGAAATAGCTCATATATATAAATGCATGGGCAGACTCTAGTGCATGTTGATGTTTGGATATGGTTTGTTTCTTTTAAGAGGAGTTTCAACTGATCCTTAAATTCTAGATACACCATCTCAGAACCTGGCTGGAAACAATCCGGCTACAGTACCAAATGTTTTACAATTGCTATTATAGCTAGCGATCTCAAATAGTGTTACAAACATTACCATGTTTTGTTGATACAGTGATATATAGTATTATACAAAAAAAATGTTCCTACTCATACCCACTTACCTGGTTGAAGATGTGGACTGCTTTTTTTTTTTTTGTACCAATAATTAAACTCATGACCTCAGTTCTGCCATTAAATCTGTACTAACAGCCAAGGCTTTAGCTCTGAACAAGTTCTGCCCTATTAAAAATAACAAACCTGTGCTGGGCATGGTGGTGCATGCTTATAATTCCAACACTCAGAAGGTTGAGGCAGGAGGATCACCCATGAGTTCAAAGTCAGCCTGAGCTTCAAGGCCAGCTTGAAGTGTATATTGAGACCTTGTCTCAAAAAAACCAAAAAAACATCTGTATCTTTACATTCCTAAGGAATGAAGCTACTATAATAGGAAGAAATGTGTTATGTTTGTGTTATGTAACACAATGGTAGAGATGCCTGATCTTTCCCACACTAAAATTATAATATGTCTTTAAAGGACTCTGAAGCCTGGGAACAGTGTCAGTGATCTTGTGTGTATCTACTATTATATCAGAATCTTAATTCATTTCTAATATACAAGATGATCAAGGATACATTCATGATGTTTTCATATTTGCTTTGCTGGATAAAATGATACAAATATTTTAACAGTACTGGTATATATACGAAACTGAAATAGGCATTAAAAAAGTGCCTACAATTAGGAATTTTGTGCCGCTAAAATGCTATACCAAGTTGGAGGTTTCTTGACATAACAAATTGTGGTAATCTGGTTAGCTTTTCCTCTTAGTTTGACCAGGAAACAATAAGAATGGTATCTGAGGCATTGGTGAAAAAGTTTAAAGAACTAGCAGAGTAACATTCTCAATAAATGGTAAAACATTCCAGCACAGTACTGTTTTAACTACTTTTGTCGTCTTTGTCCACTAAAATGAACTAGCATCATACATGAAATAATCTGTGTGAAAGTAAACAGATCCTTGCATATTTATGCAAGATTTATACAGTCTTAAAATGCAGTATAAAAACATAAAGGTAACAAAGTAAGTTTTTACCTGTGAACTTTCAAGAATTGGATAAATCACTTTGATCTTAAATCTGTGGTTTTTCAGCAGGAGTTTCAATTTGTCCAATGTTAGCAGCACTGGACAAAAGAATTAGCCACAATGTAAGGCAGCTGTGTAGGGGCCACTTATCTTAGTTCTGTATGCTGATCCTCGTACTAACTGAATCAGTGAATTAAGATAACACTAGACATACCAGAAATAGGTAGTTGAGATTTGCATGTCAATCAACTTAACTGAATATGTACCATGCAAACAGTTTTACAGGCTTCATGAGTTTTTTATTTATATAGTGTCTGTTCTTAGCCATCCAGAGAAACAATGGAATTCAATGAATTTCAAAAATAACCTAGAAGAGAGAAAGAGTCAAACTTAAAAATGTATTTTATAGCATTGCCAAAAACAGGTATGGTGATGCACTCCTGTAATCCCAGCATTTTGGGAAGCTGACACAAAAGGACTACTGTTCAAGGCACTGAACTACATAGCAAGATCTTGACTCCCAAACAAACCAAAAAATTAAACAGTATTACAGTATTAAGTAAGGTTTCCCAAAAATATTTCTTTAAGGAAATTTATAAAAATTAACAGTTTCTCATTTTCTCTGGCTTAGAAGAGTGTAACTAGAATTATTGTAGTAAAGGACTAGAGGAACTAGAGGGCCAGCAAAGAGCATTTTCTTTTTGCTTATAGAGTACTATTACATACTCAACAGTTTACTGCCTGAGAAATAAGTATTCGAGAGATTTTCTTTTAATCATACTATATTAACATTTTAAAATTGGTATGCACAGTATACAAGTTTGTGAAGTAAGACTTCATTTCTTTGGTAAATAAAGGTAGGAGTATATACTTTAGGTCTTATATTCATTAAGAATGTCTTGTATGCCTACTAGATTTCACTACAGTAATATTAAATTACACAACGGAAATTCTTAAATTACTTATAAAATAATTTACTCTTGTTTACATATTCTCCCTAATTGTTAGTACAGCCATTTGAAGGGTATTTTTTTTACCTTGGAAGGTGTCGGGTAGAAGATGTAGCTCTCGTTCTTCAAACATTTTTTCAATACAGTTTCACCACTACTTGAGTCATTAATTGAATTCATTAGCAAAAAGCACTTAGAATATGGAATCAGAATCAATATATAAAATGACTTCTAGATTTCATTTCCATAATTCAGTAAGTTAACCCACAAGTAAAAATAAACTGAAATAGGGCCAGGGATTCAGCTCAGCAGCACAAGTGCCTGCCTGGCAAGCACAAGGTCATGAGTTCTATCTCTGGTACAAAAAACTAAACAGTGTAGTTTAAAATACTTATGAATTGTTGGACCTTTTTTAATTAAAGGTTCCAGGATCAACGTAAGGATAAGCAAGGAATTCCCCTAGTTTGTTGCCTTCTGAATCATAATGGAGCATTCGGAAGCAAACATCACAAAAGAAACATGGGTCCTCTGGTGCAAAACTGTCATTGTTCGTCACCCATCTGCAGTTTTTAAGAAAAGAGGTACATCGTTACAGTCAAATTCTCCCATGCAGCTATAATTTACAACCTGCAGGTTAACACAGCATTCATACTAATGTTTGTCAGTCTACAATAATACACTGTAATAATATCTATACTATGAAACATTACAGGATGCTGTTCCTCTATAAGATTTAATTTCCTCTTAAATACAGTACAGGTCAACTAAATCTGTACCTGGGAGCATCCTACATCTGCTGTGTCACAACTGATCTCCAAGACGAGTTATTTTCTTCCACTAATGGAAACTCATTATAAAAATAACTGCTACAGGCTTAATACAATTTTAATATAGGTTTTTATAAAATTTCATTTAGTTGATGCATACTATTCACATATTTATAGGGTACAGTATTCCAATACAGGTATGATTGTATAATGAATAGCCACAGAAGCATTTATTTCTCAAACTCATCTCTCTGTGGGGAATCTTGAAAGTTCTGGTTATTTCAAAATATATAGCATGGTTGTAGTTACCATACTGTGCTGTGGCAAAACATTTGGAATACTTCAAGAAGTTTGTGTCATCCTCCTGCAGGGACCGTGCTAACCTCTGTACAGCTTCCCCTGAGTATATGTGTAGCCAAATGAGTACTAACTCATCCTAGCACTGGTTAGCTGGAAAACATCTACTTTAAACATGCAAAACTGAGGATAAATTCTTAGAATCTAATCTACAGTGTGTATGAATATAATGTGGGTAACATTTTTCATATAATACTGATTTGGACCCAAGACATTACTTATAGTAAGATGAAAATACTATTTTTCCAGGTAACTGAATTTAGTATTCATAGAATGTTTACTTTTAACATCCCTTTATTTTGATTTTTCATTTTGAGTATCTTGACCCTACAGAAAAACAGATTGAAGTAGGGAACCCAAAACAATTTCTTTCCTATTGCTGAGAGCAGTTTCCGTAAACCTTTTTGCCTTTGACCTACACTAAGATAAACTTTAGGGTCTAAACATGCAGAATTAATATAGAGGAAAAACTTTGTTAAAGTGCTAGGATATTCCACTGAGGAAAAACTGTGGGATGAAGCTAGTTTTGTAAACCACAGGCAAGAGACAGAAAAAAGTGCTCCCTAAGCACTGTTTTAACCCTTTAGTCTCACTTGCTCCTTGACTTCTTGCTTAAAAACTGATTTGGTCACATGTGGTGCACAACTGTAATCCTAGCTCTTGGGAAGCTGAGGCAGTAGATCACTGAGTTCAAGGCCAGCCTAAACTACACAGTGAGGCCCTGTCTCAAACAAACACACAAACAAAAACCCTAAATAACTCATTTGGCAAGAATAAATGCTTACAATGTGAAAGGCCCCAGGCTTCAATCACAAAACCAAACTAAAACCCACTAGCTTTAGCCCACTGAATACTTTGCAGCATTACACTACTATTCATTCACAAACCAGAGTACAAATCCTTATAGCCAAAAGAGAAAACAAATCCAAAAGTACTTAATAACTGACAACCCCAATACTTCTCAATGTAAAAGTAAGTATCACTCACCTAGCTGTGTACATTTTACAAACAAAACATTTTCTAGTCCACAGCCAGTGCTTCTTGATGAGAAGAGGATAAAGTGTTCTATCCAAACAGTCATCATGATGCACAAGCCTTTTTTGAAGAGAAAATAAAATTCAAGCACTATGGTGCAAATTTCTATGATACATTTGTTCTAAACATTAACACAATATATATATACATGCATATATACATAGATACATACATTCCCCCCCCCCATTTTTTCTCACAAAATTTTAGATAAGGGCCGGGTGTTATGCACATCTATAATCCCAGCACTCAAAAATAGCAAAGCATGAGGAGTCTGTACCCTAAATGACACCCTTTGGTTTAAAGCTCACAGGGCCAGGTTTCTATCCTGGGGCCTAGGCATTGGTTTTAGAGACCGACAACATGGTAAACAAGCTATACTATGTGTCTGAGCAGTTTTCCAGGGAGAGCATCTGAGACTTTCATCAGATTTTCAAAAGGTCCCATGATCCCAAGAGTTTAAAAAACATAGGCACAAGGACTGAGCTTTGAGCAGCTACACGGAGAGCTCTCTCGGCTATTTACATGTTGATATAACAACAGGCACTAAGCAGATTAGTGTAAAATATGGAAGACAGCAGCAGGACCAAAGCAGCAACAGGACCAACAGGATGACGTAAGAAGCAAACGAGCCAGGAAGGAGGGAAATTCTAATCCCTTCCTTCCCAGCACTGCCTCTGTTGAGATGAGGCTCACACAGTCATTGAAACTAGAATTTGGGTACACATTTTGATGCAAAAATTTTCTGTGGTTCTTGTTCTTTGGAATTCAACGCATAAGCTAGAACCTGTCAGTATCCTTTGTGGTTCCTTCTGTGGTTCTTGTTCTTTGGAATTCAAAGCCGGAGGATCACTACGCCTGGGCTACACAGTGAGACTCTTTCTCAGAAACAAACAAAACCTCCCAAACAAACAGGTATACTGACTTGTTATACCAGGTTTGATCAAACTGTGTTCCCCAAATTCTATCCACATTTTGCATTGAACAAAGACTTCTCAGTTCTCTTTATGCTGTGGACACTGTGACCTAAGAGGAAGTATTCAGTGTCTCTTGGATGTGTTCCATCAGAAATCCTTGCTTTGCTTAACACTTAGGACCACATGGAACACAGTTTGCACAAGACTACTCAGTGATATTTTATCTAGACTGACTGGTTGTTACATGGATCTTGCTTTTCTTGTCACCTGTATTAAAAACACAAATCTTGTTCCTGATCTGAATTTGTAGTGCTTTAACTATAAATGTCAGCACTACAAAGTGTTAAGAAACTAAGTGGAAGTCACCCTCCATTCCCACAAAACTGCAAGTTTTGGAGTAAATTCCTTACACTGTGAGAGGACCGCACAGGTTTATCCTAAAGGTCCCAGTTGATTCCATAATTTGGTTTCTTTCTTTTTTTAAATAAGGGTAGCAATATACAAAATTTAATCAAAAATGATTAAATGTTGGGGGATTGGTATTGCAGAGTGACACTGAAATGATCAAATTTACCTATAAGATGAAAATGACTTACTGAAATGATCTATAATGATTTCCCAGCAAAACCAACACTGCGAATTCTTTAACAAGTGTAAATTGAAGGCTGGGAATTTAGCTCAGCAGCATAAGCGCCTGCCTTGCAAGTGCGCTTGATCCCAGGTACCAAAAAAAAAAAAAAAAAAAAAGTGTAAATTGCCTTTGCTTTAGCATTGACAGATAACTGTTTCTTCTGTTTATCACTGTATGAAGTTGTTCCTTTTTAAGAACTGTGTTTTTTATCCTTCAGCCTAACCCAAGACCACCAGAGAATGGTGGATCATGTTCCTTAAAAAAAAAAAAAAAAAGAAATGGTGCATTTTAAAAGCGAAAAAGTGCTTAAACTTACAACCTGCTGTTGTTAATCTCTAGTGACACACCTTCACCTCTTTAGCTTCCTAGCTTGCACTTCAGCAAAGTAACTTTCTATACTAAATTCCTTCTGGTTTAAGAACCACAGGTACTTATTTTGGTGAGGTATATTTCACATATTTAATTTGCTGCAAATTCCTATCATGAAAGGATGCTGAATTTCATCTAGTGCATTTTATGTATCTATTGAGATGTCAGTATGTTTTTTCCCCTTGATTGTTAAAATGATCATGTTTACCAGGGGTCACTGAAATACCACATCTTTGCGTGAAAGAACTGGCACAACGTTGCTAGTTGTACAGTTTTTCCTAAGGTGAAGTGATGGTGGCAGAATCAGGAGCATATCCTCTAGATTTGTCTGATGTTGATGTTTTTTTTGACTGACTTCTGGGAAGATGGCAGAGTGGTAAGCGGCAAAGAAAGAGCCTCTCTGGGAGTTACTGTCCAGACTCTGGAATATACCAATAACCAGGAGGACAGAAGTTTGTCTCCTGGGCCCAGGAAGGATCTGAAGCAAGAACTGAAGCCCATGGAGAGAGTGAAGAGAGAAACTTCAATAAAAATGGACCCAGGGATATAGCTGAGCAACACAGTGCCTGCCTGGCAAGTGTGAGGTCTTCAGTTTAATTCCCAGTAGCAAAAAAAGAGGAGGAGGTAACTACGAGTGCTTTCTGTCTGAGCTGGGACTCACTGTGTGGGAGGAGCAGTTCAATCCTGGACACACAGTGATGGCTGGCGACCCCAGAGGCCTCCACAGAGAGATGCAGCAGTGGAGGAGATCAGTGGACCTTAAGGACTGCACTAGCTGTGGGTGAGTGCTGAGGGCTTGGTCATCCCATGGGAGGCAGTGATTGACTGGGAATCATCTTAAGAGAGGGGCCAACTGAGGTCAGAACTCAGAAAAACTGCTAGGTGTACCTCATGGTTCCCAGCCTGAGTACAAATATGCAAAAGGTATGCTGACTGCCACAGGCTGAAGAGGGTCTGATCTTGGCCTCCATGGCCAGAAACCAGCTTGAACTTCAAGGGAACTCAAAATGCAGGCTTGCTGAAATCACTCACTACCTCACCGTAAAGCTACTGCTGGCACTTAGAAGTGGACTTTTTTCTTTTGTCTCTTTATTGGTCTTTGTCATCATTGTTGTTTTTCATTGTTTGATCTTGTTCTTATATGAGTGTAAATGTTGTTTCTATCCTCTTTGTAGTGACTTTTCTGTTCAGTTCTTCCTTTTATCTCCTCTCTTTCCCTCCAGTCTTCTGCACCATTTTCCCAAAGTTAATATGATCCCACTTTGTCCTCCAGCCTTACTTCTTTTTTTTTTTTTTGTCTTTTTCATTTTTACCGGTACCGGGGATCGAACTCACGACTGCCTGCTTTTTAAGGCAGGCGCTTATGCCGCTGAGCTAAATCCCCAGCCCCCAGCCTTACTTCTAATCTCTTCCATTGTTTTCTTTTTCTATTTTTTCCCTATCCCCTTTTAAATTTTAACTTGAAGGTAAAACTGACATACTAAGAACTTACATATAATTTTCTGGTTTGTCTTAAGATTGTGTTGTATAACCACAAAATCTAGTCCATACAGTTAAAGGTAGCAAATTAATGGTTCCCTCAGTTTGTCATTTTCTAGGCTGTGTTTGATGCTTTTGTTATTGCTGATGATACCATTATAACCAAAGTGACAGAACTGTTCTAACCAGAGTTAAGGATCATAAAAATACTGTGGCATAGTGCCAAGAACCAGAGGCTGGGCCAAGCAGGCAACAACTTCTCATTCCCAACAAATTGAAGAGGTAGGATCTTACAACAGACTAAAACACAAAAACCAGTTACACCTAAATAGAAGACACCTCTGAGAAGCAGTCATTTCCTAGGGGCTCCAAACATTAGCAGTAAAGCAACTCACCATAGGCATCAACTAAGGAACTAAGTGAACTAAACAAAAGAAAAGAGAAAAGAAAGAAGGAAAAGAGAAGAAAAAAGAAAATAAATGAGCAGACATTTAAACAAGATGCAACCCCAAACATCCAGTTCACCAAAGCAAATCTGGGGAGCAATGAGGTGGGACAATCTGAAAGCTTCCCACCTGGTCTCACTGAAGTGGAACTAACAAAGCAATTGATGAGGCTCTAGAAAAAAATCAGAAATAATCTGTCAGATAACTGCCACAATGGAAACCTGCTTAGTGATTCTAGAGCAGATCACTTCTGTTGGACTGTCCTTACAGCCTTAGTGTGAATCTCATTGACTGTGGAAGTGATTTGATTAATGTGTTCTTGAATTTGTCTTGATAATTTTTTGTTGAGGTTTTTTGCAACTACAGTATGTTCATCTGCAATACTCCCTTGTAGTTTTCTTTTTGTTGCTGCTGTTGTGTCCTTGTCTAGCTTTGGAATCAGTTTGAGAAGAACCAGTATTAGTTCTTTAAATGTTTGGTAGAAAACAGCAATAACAGCCAGTCAGGTCCTCGGCTTTACTTTGCAGGGAGACATTTTAGTTTTAGTTTTCCTTCATTAGTGTGTATTTGCAATATAGAGCAGTGTGTGTGTATATTTTTTGTGGGTGCTAGGGATCAAACCTAGGATCTCAGTCATGTAGATAAGCTATGGCTAAGCCACACCTGATACCCCAGCCTTTTTCCATATTGTTTTTAAGAAGCAGCCACGTTTTTTCTCATTCAATGGAAGACAGGTACAGTACATTACATAAAACGTAGTATCATTACAGAAACGTAAGTTTACTATAAATGGTCTTAAAGGGCTTAGAACTTGAAATTTTATGAGCTCTCCTGGTTCCTGCCTTCTTCTCAGTAAGTAGCTCAGGCTGGGTTCAAACTTGTAATCTTCCTGCTTCAGCCTTAAGTGCTAGGATTACGTGTATTCATGACCAGAAAAACTTTTTTAAAGAAAATTTACTTGACTTCACTCTATACTATTATAATTTTGATGAATAATGCTCGAATTATGAGTTAATTCTATTTGCACCTATGCCACACAATCGACTATCCTTTTACTGTGCAATATTTTGTTTTCTAGCTATTAAGTCTCTCCTGCTGGCATTTGCTTAATTTGCAGTGCCTCTGTTACTAATTCAGGTCCCTGTTTTCTGACCAACTGGCAAACGTAATGGTCTACATAGGTTAAACACCAACAGGAGTTCTTAGTGTTCTGATTTTCTCCCCCAGACATTCTTCCTGAGTTCCTCCAAGCATCTCGCTTTAACCTCTGGACCAGACTCTTGTCTAGATCTGATAAACAGCTCTCATATTGGGCTTTCGCTTTCCCATCATTCTGAGGATGCTCTTTGTCTTACTACCTATTTTGCATTACATCCACATCTTTATCATGGTTCACTCTCTGTGTGAAGTATTTCCGATGGCAGTTTCCCGAGAATAACTGTATATAGGACATAAAATTTTAAAGACTGGCCATAAAGAACCAAAAGTGAAAGCCAAAGTCAGAAACTTTCTAAAAGTGTCAGGTTCTATTATTGGTATAATAAAAACATTGTTATATCACTAAAAACTTAAAATGGCCTTGCAGAATAAAGGCAGCAATACAATAGGGTTTGTTCCTACATACTGGTCCTTTTTAAATGAAGATTTACCAGTGAGGGAATGAATATAGTATCCTAAGCTGAAAAAGAGCTATCACCTCTACAAAATACTGAGCTAGCAACCAAATCCTGTTACACTATTTTATCTCTTGCCCAATTTCAATCCTTATCAAAACATTTAAGAATTCACATTTGTCAAATTGGAATTTTTTTCCCCAGTTCTCTTTTTATCTTTTGACAAAAAGAAAAACCTTTAGGAGTCAGGGCAGTGATGTGGCTCAGTGGCAGAGCACCTGCCTAAGCATGCGCCAGATTCTGGTTTTCAGCTCCCAACAGCACAAACAAAGCAAATATAAAGGAGCAAAGGAAGGGAAAGGAAGGAAAGAAAATGAAACCTAGGAATATAGTTGCAAATCTTTAAAGCGCCCGGCCTTCATGATACACAAAATGGACAGTGCTACCTGAGTAACAGTATTACACACTGCTAAGTGTTGTAAAGTATTTATAGACTTTTTAAATCCTCCAGTTAATAGTAAGATATTCCTCACATATTTTTCCAAAACTTCACAATAGAGGATCCAAAGAAAGAGGTAGTCATACTAAAGAAAACAGAATTATTTGCTGCTACTCATACAACCTCATACTAGAAATATTTATTTTTCTTTCTTTTTGTGGTCTTACGGGTTGAAGCTATGGCATACTGGGCAAGCCCTTTACCACTGAGGTACACCCCCGTTTTAACTGTACTTTTATACTGTGAATTAGAAGAACAAAAATAGAATGACAATAATTCTGAGTGCTCCCACCTACCTTATGTCTGTAATGACAACAATATGTTCGCAGTCTCCCTGGTGACAGTACAAGTAAGGAAAGCCCAGTTTAATGTTCAGGTCACTGAAGGTAAAGTCTTCCATTCTGGCTGTCTGAAACTTGCCATAGCCTCTATCACGAGACTCTGACCACTCAATGATAGTTCTGAGGGGAGAAAAAGGCAAGGATCTATCATTGCTCCATAGAAACTTAAAAAAAAAATTAGTTTGAGACTGTAGCATTTTACATTATCTGGCTGGCCCAATTAACTGGATAATTGCTATCTTTACAAGAAGTCCATATTGGTTTGTGATTTGTGCAACTAGGAACACTGCATTTTTCTTTATATATCAGAGTAACAGTTCTCAATATGTGGTTCCTGACATCAGAAGTATCTCTGTAGCAATATTATCTGTCCATTCCAACTCTGATCCTGATAAATGACCAATGTTTTGGAGGCTGTATTCTGTGTACGACTTTAGCTTGACTGCAAAATATTTAACAATACCACTCATTTTATTTTGGACATTATTTTTCACAAAAATGTTAATGTCATGGGAGTAAACTAGTATATTTTAGTTTTAATTTCTAATATGACATGTATTAACAACTATAACTCAACAAGGCCTGCTCAAAGTGTTCAATTACACTATTAAGGAGGTCAAGACCAAGTATGAAAACTGCATTAGAATATAAACATGGCCATAATGAAAACATTTTTACATAAGCACTCAAAAATATTCATATATATTCATTCTAAGGCCCCTTTCATATGTGATACATCTCATGAATGTTATGTCCATTCACCAGAACAAACAGCAGAAAAAACCAGTGAAAAATTAATTTACCACTATCACCTAAAAACCAGATTAATTTTTTAGATGCATATAACATTGAATACAAAATTCATAAGTAATTCCTTGACAGAAATCTTTATGTATGGAGATATCAGTACTTCAGGAAGCAAAAATATGAAATACTTGGGGAAAATTTTTTGGAAACTATACCTGCTCAAATCTCTGCATTCTGGGTATCTTTTATCATTGTAAAATGTTCCTTCAAAATAAAAGAAGGCAGATTTGTATAGGTCCTACAACAAAACATACGATATTGAGAGAAAGTCTGCTCTAACAATTAGGAAATTAGTCTTTTAACATTGAAAATTTACAATATAATAAACTTATAAAATCACAGTAGCATATATTCTGGTAACTCGATGGAACTTCACAGAATCTACTTTGTCAGAAACTTGTGGTGGCGTACATCTGTAATGCAGCACTTCACCACAAATTCACAGCCAGCTTGGGCTTCGTAGTGAGTTTAAGGACAGCCTGAACAACAAAGGAAGACCCTGTCTCAAAACAGTCTAAAATTTGATGGGAACCTACTATATGCTAAGTGTTATGTTAATTGTCAAAGTTAAAGATGTAAAGACATGACATCTATGACTATTTTCAGTTTTATACTACAGTTGTTTTAATCACTAGGTCTGACTTATATCTGTTCTCCTGAGATTTATGAAAGGAATTCAATTAGAATTCAAATAAACTGAAGTATTATTTTAGAGTATACATACAGGCTGTCACATTTACTTTGGGAACTAAAGTGAAAAAGTCGTATCTTTGATGTTTCCACAGAAATAATAAAGAAAGATCACTGAGTTAAAACTTCTTCCATTCCCTGTGGTGCTGGAGATTGAACCCCAGTCCTTGTGCATGCCAGATAAGCACTCTATTGCCGAGCTATCCCCTCCAACCCACTACCCTTCAATATATGTTCACAAAATTTCTCTAAATTTTCAGTAACTCATAGGCAGATAGAATGTGAATTTCACTTCTAACTTAGGCAATTTAGTCCAAGGTACCATAGTAATAGTAGTGGTCTCAGTCTTCAGGTTCTTAACTTTTATTCTATCAGACTTTCCACCAATCAACACTGCATTAAAAGCATCACAAAAATATCACACACCAACACTTACCACAGACTTATTAAACAAGAACCTCTGAGGATATGGCCCAGGCCATTAGTATTTTTACAAATCTCTCTAGGAAATCTATGCAACCAGACTTGAGAAACATTCTGTCAGACTTAATTGTTTTTTTTTGGGGGGTTGGGGACTGGGGATTGAACTTGCAACCTCTCACTTGCCAGGCAGGTGCTTGTGCCATTGAACTAAATCCCTGGATCCCTAGACTTCATTCTTTAGAATTAGGCTCCTGGATGAAGGTCATAAGATATGATTTCCTTTCCTTACCTATGGCTTACTAGCTATTTTGTTGCTGGAAGTGGGCACTGTAACTAGGGCCTGCTGAAGTTGATAAAGAGTATATTAAAAGTTCATAGTATTCTCTTTCTTGTTTAGGTTTGAGATTTTTCTAAAAGAAACCTTAACAAAGAAAAAACATAATATGCAAATGCAAATCAACAACAACAAAAATCTTTCCAAGATCCAAAGAGATGTTACCACCAGCCAAATCTCATTTATGCATTTACCATCCTAAAACATAGCTAGAGAACAAATAATCAAAACAGGTTTCTGAACAGATTAAAAATTCTCTAAAATGCATGCACTAGAAGCCTGTTGGTGTTTTTTTAATCACAGTAGTGCTCAAGGGTTTACTGAGTGCCTGTTCACCAGGTAAACAAAAGGGGAAGGAAAGGCATTCAAAGCCAGGTATAACACCAGCAAGGCAAAGAAAGCATATGGGGCTTTGAAGGGGGATGACAGGGATGTGACTCCAGCCCCCATCACACTTACTGAAACTAGACCCTTTATGACAGTGCTCTGAACTACCTTACCTGTAAAATAGTGATAATTCTATCCAAAGGCAGTATATACCTGGCACATGGTAAGTGCTCAATCATCAGAAGTTATTATTTAGTAGATAAAAGTGGCAGAAACAATGTAACAAAAGATGTAGAAATATTTTTAAAGAGCACTATAAGGGTCACTTAGCCCTGCTTAAAAAACTAAAGGCAACAGCATCAATATTGAAAGACTAAAACTAAATATAATTCAAAGATTAATATTTTTGGTAGGATTAAGAAGCTGGAGAATGTGCTCATACAAATTTATAATCCCAATCCTCTGGGAGGCTCAGGCAGGAGAATCACAATTTTGAGCCAGCCTGGCACCTTACTGGCTGTCTAAACTCTATCTCTGTCATAGTTGGGCCAAACATCTTTCCCATACCTACCAGAAAGTGAGCCTCTCTCCTTTTGTGGGTCAGTAAGTCTGGGGTCCTCTGCCAGTTCTGTATCAGGTAACAGAAGTACCTGAACCTTTCCCGAGGCTGATATTTGGGAGGATCAGGTAGGTCCTTCTGCTTACACAGGGAAGCAACACTTCTGTCAACTCTGTGGGCAGCCAGCCTGCTACTCTGCTCCTTTCCAAAGATTTCACTGTGCTGTGAAGAGCACCACACACCAGCAAGGGCCAGCTCCAAACACATCTCCCTGTACTGTCTGGTACTGGTCCTGGTACCTCCTGGTCTGTCTACGCACAGTGAAAGGTGACGCAGGGGTACTAACTATACTATCTTTCAGCTGACTACAATCTTTTGCTAGTGTTAGTTTTGACAGACTGAGACTCCTACTAGAGTCTGAAAAAGGAGAAAGTGAACAACAGAGTCAGAAGCTACAGTAAGGCTGGGGTGTAGCTCAGTGGTACAGCTCCTGCTTAGCATGGGAAGCTCTGGGCTTGGTCCCCTGAACCTGTTTCCCCTATTTCCCCAATAAAGGCTATGGTGAGGTCAGACTGTATGGAAATGAAAGAGACCAATTTGTCAGACAACTAGCTGGTCACCATGACCTAAGAAGGAGAAGAGTCCATAGAATAATTGAGAAATAAAAGAGATGAGGAGATCAAAATGGAGTCCTGCTCCTGCAGAAAAGCTCCAATGAGAAAGGGGAGCAGAGGGCACTAGTTTTGGTGGACTCACATGGGGCAAGCATGTGCCCGACACTGATAAACCTGCTTGACTTGTCACTGTTTCCTTAGCTGACTGTTTCCTTCTGTTTTACTTGCAGAGGTCACCTTACTTTGCTGATGTGCTCAGGAGCCTGGTCAGGAGTGTTGCTGAATTCACCACCAATCTGGAGGTCGCTGACACAGCAAATGGCATCCCGCAGTTCTGTGAGCTTTTGCCGTCCCAATACCAGCATTGTCTGGTACGGTTTGTGTTCTTTATGCTAAAAGTCACATAGTAAGTAAGTGTGCACTTACAGATAAAGCAGTTAAACCACAAATTACATCATGATCAGATCTAAGTGAAGTTACTGATTTCCTCAATAAATTGCCACCATGATCGTTCTGGGTTTTCTTATTTTCCCAGTACACAATCAGATTAACTTAGGGTCAGCTGACATGCAACCAGAGACAGACTTTGTGTCAGTGGTGGCGACCCTCTGGCACAGGTGCTGGAGCAGGCTATTTGTATCACTGAGAGCTCTATGAGGTCCACTACCACTGCCTTATGCCCCAAAACTCACTGGAGTTATTCAAACGAACCAGCCCTAAACTGTTTACCCTGCCCTGCACTGCTTTTCCTGTAGGGCCCTCCAACAAGCTGTGAGCTCACCCTCTGCTTCCTGCTTCCAGCTGACAGTGCTTGCCCCTGTGCCCCATGTGGTGTGGCATGGAGGCTCCTCTTAGGAAACCTAAGCATTGTAATAAAAACATTGACGGCATTGACTTCTCTGTCACTACTTGATCACCTTCACAAATTAAAATTCTACGTGTATAATTGAGAGACTTGCCTATTTTATTTTAATTTTATATTTTGGTACCAGGAATCAAACTCAGGACCCTATACTTACCAGGTAAGCAGCTGTGCTGCTGAGCTGTATCCCTGGCCCAAATTCTCCTACTTTAAACTGAAGTTTATAATTATGATGCCACTAAACTAACATTAGGACTAAGAACTTTTGGAATAACTTAACCCAGCAGCACTGTCTTTAAGTTTTCCTGAACATTACATCATCAAAGACAGTCAATCAATATCCTATCCTAATGGTATATACTCAAAGGGTTTTTTTTTTTTTTTTGAATTGGTAATTTGAGATCTGAAACAAGGTGATAAGTAGTTAAGTATATCCCAGAAAATTAATTAAACCCTACTTACATGTAAGTGACATTTAGGTAGAGTAATATTTCTTTTTTTTTTTTTTTTTACTTTTTTTTTTTATCTTTTTCTTTTTTATCAGGACCAGGGATCGAACTCATGACCACAAACTTGCAAGGCAGGTGCTTATGCTGCTGAGCTAAATCCCCGGCCCTAGAGTAATATTTCAGTCAGACCTTCTCAAAGTTTAGGACACATCTATGTAAGACACATTAGCTAGGTTATAGTTCTTTTTATTTCAGACTCATAAGAAATTCCTGGGTCTGGGGATGTAGGTCAGGAGACAGCATTTCCCCAGCCCTGAAAAAGAAAAATTCCTGTGTAACCCTGACTTGTGACCTTTATGCATTTCATCAAAGAGCTATTTTTAGTTAGTTCAATAATATTCCAAATTAAAGCACAAAGGTCACTCCATTCCTGTACTAGCTGCCATTTTTGTCAACAGTTCATAGAATTAGACTCATTCTGGATTCATACATACTTCCAGCTGCTTCTAATGCAAAAGTCAGGTATATGTTCCATTACTGTAACTGTAATCCTCTTAAGAGGTGGTTTAAAAATCTGACCCTATTTCTGATATTTCTTATGTAGAAAAAGCACTGGCTCTATAAAGATGTCAGATAGACAGTATATATATATACCTATTTAAGGAATTAAAGCCTTTGGAAAACGTTACTCATCAGCACTGGGAGTGGTGTAGCATCTGTCTAGCACAGCATGCACGAGACCCTGAGTTCAATCTGCAGCCTCCACCCAAAGTTCATCTTATCATCTCTGAAAGCTTGAAGGTTTACTACTTACCTTATGAAATATAATGGGGTATAAAATATTCACAGATAGGATAAGCTCCCCCTCTTCAATCATGTCTACTGGATTTTCAGGTTTTTTTCCCATTGCATGCGACTCCTGAAGAAACAAAATGACACCTCGAAATCAGACACTAATTCAGATAGGCTCTGTGGTACAATGGCTATTAGCAATGCATCAGCTCTAGGACTGATGTCTAATTTGACTTCAGGCAAACTATTAAAATTTCTCTAAACTTTAGCTTCATTCTCTGTAAAAAAAAATTACTGAATTTTTAATTCTTTCTGGGAATGGATACATACATCAAATTATAAGGGACACCTATATAGTTCAGTAGTGGCATTTGCCTATCATGGTCAAGGCCTTGGATTTGATCCTCAGCACTTTGGATTTTGGGCTCTGAATGAAACTGAGTATAAAAATGCTGTGACCTAGCCAGTTTGTGTGGGACACACTGTAATCCCAGCACTTAGGAGGCTGAGGCAAGATGATTGCTGAGAGTTCAAGGCCAACCTGGGCTACATACTGAGTTCAAAGCCATCCTAGAATACACAGTGAGACCTTGTCTCAAAAACAAACAAAAAATGTTGCACCATCATTTATCCTAATAGGTTCCTTGGAGCCTGATAGATCCTGCAAAGTGCTGAGACTGTACAGAGGTGTTCAGTGGAGTGTAAACACTGACTAACTAGATTATTCAGCCATTTAGGGAGACAATACTTTCAATGTTTTATCTCTAGTCCCTCAAATTGGTATCTGGTAATAGACTGATGATCAGAAGAGAGTGTAACATCTTATCTGAAAAGTAAAAATGACCTGAGTGTCCTATAAATGATTTTTAAGAGCACATTTTAAAAGTTGGAATTGAGGCTGGGGATTTAGCTTAGTAGCACAAGTGACTGCCTGGCAAGCACAAGATTGTGAGTTCAATACCAGGTACCAAAAACAAACAACAAAAAACCCCCCTTGTAATTGTGATTTTTCAGTTCATGTACACCTGCCCCAAATTATAGGCCTCAGAGTCATGTGTACTGCATGTTGGATAAGCCAGGAAAGTTATGCACTAACAAATAAGTGTTCAGTATATGCGGAGTGATTGCTCTATATTGAGAGAAAATTTAGACTTTCAGGTGTGATTAAATAAATCTAAGATTTTGTTGGAGTAAACAGGTGCATTTAATCTCTAGCAAAAGCTGAGTATGTAGTTTGTCAGCTTTTACCCTTAAGATTTAAATTATAATTTCAAAAATTAACAAAAGAATATTAGAATATGTAAAAACAAAATCTTGAAACGCCAATGTCATGCCAATATTAGTCAATATTCCTGCTTTATCGTCAGTGGCTAAGCACTTCATGCTAATTATTCTATTAGATAGATTTGTTTTATTTACTTATTTATTTTTTGCAGTGCTGAGGACCAAATCCAAGGCCTTGTCCATGCTAGGCAGATGCTCCACCACTGAGCTATGTACCTACTAGATGATGTATGCACCCATTCCCAGCAGCAATTATAAATTCAGCAACTTTTTACAGAAGATGAAGCTAAAGCTTAGAGAAGTAACAATCGAAAAGTCATTAACAGTGCCAGCCTTCAGCAAGAAAAAGCATACTTGGAATATCCCAACCAAAACCTGTAAAACAGGAAACAGAAATTATGGCTCATTCACAGGGAAATAAGAATTTAACAGAAACTCACTGGAGAAGCCTAGACACTGAAATTATTAGTAAAAAGAGGTTAATTATTCCTACAGGCAAGAAGGAAGTTCACAAATAAAATTATTAAGTGAACTCTCTCAAATGTGTTCAGTGAGCTCAAAGAAACTATAAATAACTAGGAAATCAGGTTCCTCAACAACTTACTGCCATATTTCTCATCAGAAATCAAGTAGACAAGAAATGAGTGCAATGACACATATAAAGCCAGTACGGTAATATTGTTGACCAAGAAATCTGACAAGGGCATGGTGGAAAATGCCTGTAATTTCAGCATTGAGGAGGCTGAGGCAGGAGGATCACTGCAAGTCTGAGGCTAGCCTGGGCTACAAAATGAATTTAACTGGATGATATAATGAGACCCTATCTCAAAAGAAATAAAATAAAACAAAATTAAATGAAATTCTGGCAACACTACCCTTCAGGAATGAAGGAGAAATTGAGACATTTTCAGATAAACAAAAGCTGAAGGAGCAGGGCATGCTGGCCCACGGTTGTAATCCCTGCTCTCAGAGACTGAAGCAGGGGGATCACTGCAAGTTCAAGGCAAGTTCATGGTCAACTAACTTTTCACAAGGGTGCCAAGGCCATTCAGTAAGGAAAGGACAGCCATTTCAGCAAACAATAGTGAGAAAAATGGGTATCTATGACATGGAAAAGAATAAAGTTGAACTGAATACCTCCAAACTGATCAGTGGGGCACAGAGAGGAGAAATCAAAGGCCAAATACTTGAACTACACAAAATGATAAAAGAGGAGACAGCAAAACAAAACATAGCAGTGTGAAAACAACAAAACCTATCAGTAAGGTGCTCAGCAAGCTCAAAGATGATGTAACAGAAAATGGCCTTAAAATGATTAACAAGCTTACAAAAATGAATGACCAGTTTAGCAATGAATTAAGAGTCCATGAAAATCCAAATTAAAAATTCTGTTAAAAATACAAACATCAGAAATGACCAATGTAAAGACAAACTATTGAAAACAAAAGACAGGGCCGATGCAGGTGATTATATATACTCAGAGACACCTTAAAAACAACAAAAGAATATGGAAAACAGGTTTCAGTGCTGCTACATGACACAAGATGAATCTAAGATTAATCACAATTAGTGAAAAATCAGAAGAGAGCGCCAATGGAATAAAAAGCTTTTTATGGAAGTAATTTGCAGAAAACTGTACCACCACAAAGAATTTAACATACAGAGAAATTCAGCTTATACATTCCCAAATAGCCACAATCAGAAAAGAATTGCTCCATTACACAACATAGTCAAAATCCCAGAAGTCCAACATAAGGACAAAATCTTAAAAACTCTTACAGAAAAGCTGCAATTTACCACTTCTAAAGGTAAATCCATTAAAATTACAGGAGACATCTCAATTCATACTTTCAGGGCCAGGAGAACTGAAATGTTGCAAATCTTAAAACAATTTCCAATCTAGATTAATAAATTATCTTTCAAAACTGGTGCAGAAATTAGATCTCTCCATGAAAAAGAGCACCTTAAGAAATTCATTACTATCAAACCAGCACTCCAGAAAATTCTCAAGGATATGCTAGAAACAGACAATGAAGTCAACAATGCCAAAAAGTCTAAAGGAATGAATATACCAGGCAGGGTAAGCAGTTAAACAGAAGCGGGGTACGGAAGGACAATGACAGAAGTGCATTAGTACCACAACTCCACACCTCAGCAGTAACTCTCAGCGGAAATGCTCTCAACCCTCCAATCAAAAGGCACAGACTGACAGACTGTATCAAAACCAAAACCCAACAGTATACCATACATAACAAACATTTTAATCCAAAAATAAATTCACAGACTAAAAATCAAAGGACAGAAAACAGTATTCTATGCAGTGGGAGCCTGAAAACAAGTAGGAGTAGCTATCCTATTTTCAGACCAAACAGACTTCCTAAAATTGATCAGAGGCAGCAAAGAAGATCACACTATTATATTAGTAAAAGGAATAATTCAACAAAGAGATAAGGATTATAAATATATATGCAGTGAACACTAGCCTACTGAACTTCAGAAAACACTATTGGACATAAAAGATCAGATAAACATCAACAGAATTATACAGAGACCTCACTACCCCATTCTCACACATAGGCACATCAACTAGACAAAACAAAAGCAAACAAACAACCCCCCAAAACAAAACAAAACAAAAAAACAGAATTGAACTACATCTTTGAACAAATGGATTTGATATTTACAGAGTGTTCCACTCAACAAGATACATATTCTCAGTATCACATAAAACTTTCTCTAAAACAGGCCACATATTTGACCATAAAACATGCTTAAATAAACATGAGAGAAATGAAATTATTCCATAGGTATATTACCAGGTCATACTGCAATAAACTAGAAATCAATGGCAAATAAAACTATAGTAATTATGCAAACACATGTGGATTAAACAATATACCCTTGAATAAACAGTGGGTCACAAAAGAAATCAAAGTGAAATCAAACAATTCCTACAATCACATGGTAATCCCAAAATAACGTACCAGAAACTACAGGGCACAATAAAAGGAATCCTAAGAGGGAAGTTTCTTGCTTATGAATGCCCACATCAAAAAAAAAAAACAAAAACAAAAACAAAAACAGTGAGTCCAGATAAATAACCTAATGATGTACTTCCTAGAAAAAAAAAAAACAATCCAAAACTAATAGGAGGAAGAAAATTATAAAGGAATTAATGAAATTGAGAGTTTTTAAAAAATGACAAGAAATCAATGAGTTGAAGAACTGGTTCTTTGAAAGAATGACAAAATAGACAAACTCTCAGTAAAAATAGACGAACCCTCAGGAAAATAGACAAACCCTTAGCTAATCTTACCAAAAAAGGGCAACACCCAAATCTTTGCAAGTAGAAATGAAAAGAGTGATACTACAAAATAATACCAAAATCCAGAAGACAATAAATTGGAGAATGCAGAGGAAATGGATTGGTTCCTAGATACAGATGAATCATCAAAACTGAATCAAAAAATATAGAAAAACACTGAATAATCCAATCACAGGTGGTAAAATTGAAGGAATAATTAAACAAAACAAAAAAACTAGCAACTACTCATCACTGCATTCAACTACAAAAAAGCCCAGGATCCAATGAATTTATCATTGAAGTCAATAAGCCAAATCTAATGCCCAGTTATTACAGTGCTCCTCAAACTCTATAATGAAACCACAAGATATACTGCCATACTAATTCCTGGAAGCTAGCATTACCTCAATTCCAATACCAGACAAGAACTCACCTATAAAAGAAAACCTCAACAAAATACCAGTAACCAGAAAGTAACAAACCATCAAAAGATCATATATATTATGAACAATTAGGCTTCATTGCAGGGAAAATTTATA